CTGTTGTAGTTTGAGTAAAGTTCTTCTTTGGGACCAGTCCAAGTCAAGATTTCTATTGTGTACTGTGCAAAATGTCACTCAGATTTAAATTCTCCAAAAAACCAGCCACATTATCAATGACTCCTGCAATAACCGACAGTTTCCTTTCCTTTTTTCATACCAGATTTGTTTATCACACTCAGTACTCTGTTGAATAATTTCATCCATTCAATTGTAGCATTTTTTTACATGTTTAATCTCACTCCTCATATCTGACATAGTTTTTGCCTAAGATATGAGCGTCTGCGGATGAGAGAGCATTTTTGTTGTGGGTGATGGTGGTGTGTGCGTGCATTCAAAGGCATCGGTGTGGAATTTTTTTTGATGGACGCTGTCTGTTTTGTTTATATTGGGACCATGGCCAAGTAGAAATCTAGATTTAGGAGGCTATTGCCTCCTCAAAACTGGTCAGAATGCCATTGAGGTTGAGTTTAACAGCTTTAATCAATTGACCCGGTGTGCTGAACTAATAAATAATTGGCATGTTTTGTTTACGTGACAAACCTAACCAATCGGCTGTGTCGGCTTGTGGCAGGTTTAACGACACATTTATATTTACGCAATACAACCCAAAACCTTTTTTTTATGAAGCTACAAATATGAGGCTGTATGTTTTGTTACATCTAATGTTCAATTATATGTAGCAGAACCAATGATTGTGTTATTGGTTTTCATGGGATACCGATTTTGAGAATCTTTGGCCAACCGAAAAGTATTGGTGGTTTTGATGCCCTTGGTTGAATCAAATATGGTTCCTCCTTGTGAATTTATGATTTTCAATGATTTATGTTGCCTTAAGTTCCAATTTATTGGTCGGGTCTCATTTAATGTTAAGGTAGGTACCCTCAATTAGTAAATATCTTATTTTGTTGTCATAAACCACAAGGAACATCACAACTGTGGATCAGCCTTTTGTCTGCAGATATTACAATGTCTGTGCTTGATGCCAATTTTATGAAAGCGTTTTCCTCAGTCAAGATAATTTTGTTTTTGGTAATTTACTGTCACCATAAACTCACACTAACCAGTGCGAAGTACATTAAAAAAAACTCATGACTGACATAGCATGAGGCCTTCATCCAGCAGTGGATTTATAAACGGCTGTAATTATATACATTTACATCATGGGACCTCCTTTGCCAGTACCAAAATATGAGAATAGATTTCCCCCTTTTTTATGGCAACAAAGCAGGTGTTAAGATGTTAAAACACCAAACTGAAACCTTTTTCAAGGAATCATGTCTGCATTAACCAGAATACTTGTGGTCAGAATGCAAACAAAAAGCGTACTCTGATAATAAAATATTGAATTGCCTCTGCCAATTTGTATTATTCGGTAACCCTAAGGTACCGCCACGAGAATCAATTGTAAAGAAAAAAGTATAACTGTATCAATACACACACACACTATTTCCTGGGGACAGTTTTGTCCTAAATTCATTCCCCTTACTCATGAAGACGTGCAGATTATTTTGTTGTTGCACACAATGGACAGCAAACGCCTGATGGCGGTGGTGACGGTGTTCCAGTGTTCATGCTGTGTGGAGTTGCCGGTCGCTTAGATTCTAGATTTGAAGCTTTCGTGACTGCAAGGATCCATACTCTTAGTTTTTTCGGTAAAGTCACGTAGGTAAAAAAAATGAAATTAAAATTAATGAAAATATAATTTTATTTTCATTAATTTTAATTTCATTTTATTTTCATTAATTTCATTTATTTTCATTAATTTTAATTTCATTTTTTTACCTACGTGACTTTACCGAAAAAACTAAGAGTATGGTCGCTTAGATGTTGGTGCGGAGCACAAAGGGGGCACTGGACCCAGCATGCCAGCTCCTTGCCTACACACCGACACCAAGCCGCTGGGCGTCCACACAACAACAGTTGTCGACATTGAACAAGATACAACACGCGCTGGCGAATGTTTATTTTTGTCAGGTTATGGCAAAGAGGTGCCGCTCGCGCTGTCTTTTCCATCAACAGCAATCGGATAATCACGTCGTCTTTTTTAATGTTTTGTGTTCCCATGAGAATTTCGCATGTGCTTCCAGCGAGGAAACTAATGTTTTATTGGGAGAAGTCTTGTGACAAATATCTTTCGCAAGCCATTCTTCGACACTTGCGTTGTGGGCTTTCTGGATTGTTATTCCACATATCAGTGTGAGCAGGGCCGTATTGTCCAATATGCACATTTAGGCACAGTGCCTAGCTAGGGCCGACGAAAACTAAAGGGCCTACGAAAAAAATGTGACCGTGTGTTTTTTGTTTGTTGAATGTTATCGATTAAAATGAAACGGCATCCTTTTAAAGCTGCGTCATCCTATTTGATAATCGTAGTAAAAAAATGTGAATACATTTTCGCTTGTATTTTTAGGCTTACCTGTTTTTTTTAATAATTTAAAATAAAATCTGCTTATCTGCGGCACACAATGCGCGGTTGTAACATGGGCAGCAGTGTCAATTGTAGAAAGTTATCACTTAAAACCTGCAAAACAGAACTACCGAGGGCGTACAAGAACCTTTAATCCGACCCTGAGTGTGAGGCTTGGATATATAGTACACAAAGAGAGAGAGAGTATATGGTACAGTCATTGCAACCCCGGCAACACAGTCCGTGAGCTGAATGGCCGGTCATGTTGGAAGCAGCAACTGTGCTAAAGTGGAAAAGGTTTTGCACGGGCTGTTTCATCCGCGGCTGTCAACACATTCATATTTAATGACGGATATGTGCATTGTGTGCGTAAAGGGAACAATCCTGACAATCATGTTATAGTACTGATAAACTGATGGAACATTCAAATCAGAATTGCTATGTATTTCCACTTTACAATCTTCTACAATTGAATGATAAACTTTCGTTAAAAAAAACACATTCCTACTCATGAACGAAATTTACTGATTAAAATTTGCAGGTTAATTCGCAGCGACACAAGGTGGCATATACAGTGTCGCGCGTATGTGTAGCTTTATTAATGTCATCGTCATTGAAGATAAATATAACCCTAACCGTTGACTTTACTTTTGCAAAGGAGAACTGACACTCCAACTGGAACATATTTTTTTATAGCCATTGCGGAATCCAGGCCTTATCAGACTGTCAATAACTCGAATCAGTCTCGAGTTCTCAGCCAGCCGCTCTGCAATTTTATGGGTTAAAGTATAAACCCCATAAACTTCAAACTCCCAACGGCTCTGCTTCAGCAGCAGCTGTGACCCTTATTAGAACGGGACGTTCATGTGATGGTGAGCTTTAGTAAAATGACACTTGCCCAGAGCAACTGTATGATTACTTTACCCAATCACAATACAATAAAATTTTGACTTAAAACTTTTGTGACTGCAGGAATTAATATTCTTTTGTTATTTCGCTAAAGTCACCTAGATAGAAAAATAATATTAACTTTATTTTTCATTATTGTTTTTCAATCTACGTGACATTACCGAAAGAACCAAAGAACACAATACGATTTTTTAACTATTTCACTGAACTTATTATTTATTTACCAGAAGCGACCTGGCCACAGATGATAGCTCAACGAAGTGGCTTATGTGGAAATCTATAGCAGCCAAATACTCTAAACGCATGTTTCTAAGTGTGGAGGGGAAAAAAAACGGAGGACCCGCAGAAAACTAGACGCGACCACGGGGAGAGAGACGCTCCAACTCCAAATATACAGCAGTAGGCGTTGGTGTTTTCTTGAGACGTGTTTATCACCACAACTATATTAAACAATCGACACGCTCACATATGCCCACAACCTATTGGCAGGGAGATTGTATAACTGTTTCTGTTATGCAGATAGTCGTTGTGCATGTAAATGAACAGTGCTTTGCCAATCCACTGCTGAATGAGGGCATCTTAATACGTGCGGTTCGTGAGGGTTATTTGACCAAACTTGACCACGGCTGGCCTGTGCAGGGTTGGTGAAGGCACGGAGAAGTTTAGTTGTAGCATAGATGTACAGTACAGCAATGGATTTTGCTGCATTGGCCTCTGCTGATAACCGAGTCCCACAGCCGCCTAGAGCACATGTATTGTACATCCCACTTTACCATGGAATGTTGTGCCCAACATTGTCCCAACAGTTCAAGCCACGTGCCAAGCTTGGCTCAACGTTGTAATCACCAGCGAAACATCGAACTCAAATTGTAAACGTTATGGGTTTACTCTCTAACACACCATTGCGCTGAAGTAGCAACTAATTGACACGTTTTGTTTACATGAGAAACTTTACTAACTGGCAGTGTCGGGTGGTGGCGGGTTTAACGACACATTTACATTTACGCAATCTCACCCAACAACCTTTATTATGGATACTGGTCGTGAAAGCCTCCTACCACGTGTTAAGCCAACGTTTTACTGGAGTGGTGGTCGCTCCAGGTTCAACCCCTGCTTACCTCCCGGGATCTGTCGAGATCAGGCACATTGTGGGTAATTTCGTCAAAGACAATTCAGAGACTCTTCTACTTACGAACGCTCAACTTACGAACTTTCATAGATACGAACAAACCTGTCCGTATGTCCAGTTGCCTGTTCGGACCGAGAGTCGTAAGTTCAACAGCCGCGCAATAGATGGCGGTGATGGCATCTACATCTGCAGAATATGAAGAACCAGTGACATCTACGTCTACAGGAGATTATACAACTTTTAAAGCCATTCCCCGTGTTTGAGTGTACACGCCGTACAACACGTTTGGAATCGACGGGAGTAAAGTTGGACTTACGAAGAAATCGACTTACGAACAGAGACCTTTGCAGCCCAACAACGTTAGTAAGTAGATGAGTCCCTGTTAAGTCAATAAGAGGAGAATATACAGCACTGCGACTGTACATTTAGGTTGACAAAAATAAAAACATCACACGAAGTGGCGCAGAAATTAATAATTTAATTTACCCCCTTTACCACCATGTTTAAAAAAAAAAAACTCCAATGCAACTACAAATCACACCGTACAGTATGAACGAGCTTTAAACGTTTATGAAGTGTTGTTTGTGTAAACATTACAAAAAGTAAATACAAAACAATTCTTTTTCGCGACGACGAGTACTACGAGAGTTACGAGAATTATCATAAAATGGCAAAACAGTAGTTCAAAAGAATACAATATTAGACATCATGGTATACTATCTTGACAATAGTTAAATACATACGTTATGTCATAATACAACTCTACGACTTGCCATAAAATAAGTATAATTTCAATGCAATAAAATATATATATAGACTGTGTAATTTACAAAGTGAGGCAAAATGGAGATGATATCATCCAGGTTACTCATAGTAAGGTGTAGTTTCCCATCAGTCCCATTGCAGTGACTGGTCGCCACAACACGTGGGTGGGCGATTGTAAGGTTCCTAAGCCAATTGACCAGGTAATTTGGACTGTACCACAATGGGCAACCGATGAGTCGCACCGGCACTGCCCACGACGTGAAATGTATTTCAGTTCGAATTCAAGTGAGCAACGCGGACAATCATCTCTTACTGATGTGGCCTGACTCCTGAAGCAATATCAGAAACAATATTCTTTCGCGATTGACTGTATATATTGAAAATATTTAACCAGGAAAAAATAAACACCCCTCCCACCCTCGTATTCTTGGCTTCTCCTGTCCATTCCCCATAACGATATTTAATGCAGAAGTATAAAAGAACGGCAATTTAATTAATAACAATAAAAAAAAAAACTGTACAACACACAAAATACACTGCAAATAAAATGCCTGAAATTTAAGCACTGCTTGGCGAAGGGTGACAATGGGGCGCACGTTTGAGAAGGAGCCCCCCACAAAGAGCTGCGAGTTTCCACGGGGACACATTTATCCGTTCAGCAGAAGACCGTACCACTGCAAGCCATTGACGGTCTCCTTACAAGGGGGGGAGGGGGTTACACACCGCGCGTTTTATCGTACCGCGATACAACATAACCAACATGTGCCTACTGCAAATTAAATATAAAGCAGCCAACAAAACCCAGTGGTTATTACCGTAACATTAAATAATGCAATATGTTTTTTTTTCCATCTATATAACAAAACAACTCTTATAGTTTTTTTTTCTCCTCCGCCACGTAATAAATGAAAGCAACACTTTCTACAGATTAAAAAAAGAAAAAAGCATAGTTCTCTTTTAGCACGTGACCATATCTTCAAAACATTTTAATTACAAAGTCAAGTTTCTCTTGTGTGTGTTATGGCCACTTTGTTGGCAATGCAGTCTTCTGAAAGTTCAACTCGTCAAGGCTTCTTGGGGATATCTCCAGGTATGAGATATCAAATTTTCTGCCGTCGTCTGTGATATCCTGCCGTGGTCCAACGGCTGCTTCACTTTCCAGTTCTCCCAGAGTCCCTTGATAATTAAATTTTTAAAAAATCATTGCATCACGGAGGGGCAACACCATTACTGTTGGGCATATAAAAAACAAGAACAACTTGCAATTCTGATCCACGTGTTTAGAGTCAATCACTGGCTGCAGTTAAACCACAAAAAAAACGAAACCCACCCAAAACCTAAACCAGTTATTTTTTTGGCAAAGCCCACGCCGTCACACGTCGCTCTCCGTGAGCTCGCCCCTCTGCGGCTGGTACATCACGTCCCACGCGGGCCTGGGCGGCGCGCCAGGCGATGACCCGTCCGAGGGACCCGCCAGCCCCAGGCGGCTGCCGGTACTGCTACACTGCGACTCCGTCTCCTCCTGCAGCAGGTGTTCTGTCTCCGCGTCGGGCGCCCGCTTCTCCAGCACGTGGCTGCCCAGCGACGAGGCGGCGGCGGCGGTGGCGGCGCGCGGCCCGCCCAGGGCCTGGCCGCGAGGGACACCAGGGGCCCTCGCGGAGGCGGCCGTCCCAAAAGGACCCGTCGTCGTACTCGTCGTCGTCGTCGGCTGCCGGGCGGTGCTTGATGAGGTGGAGGCCCTCAGTGGGCGCCAGAGGCCGCCGCGTCGGGGAGACGTCCACCAGGCCCTGCGGGTGGCGCACAAGAGCGGTAAGCGTGTGATGGCGCCGCCGGTGGTGGTCACGGCGCGAGAGCATTGGGAGCCCTGGGTACAAAGTCCTATTTTGAGTGCGCCACGTGAAGACAACCGTGATACGTTGGACAAGCTGCATAGCTTCATTATATCACAATTGTGTGAAATAATGCATGGTAAGTTTTGAGTTTATTTCATTGAGATCTGAGCTCCAGCTGATTAGAATCAGAATATTTATTTATACTGGAGGAGGAATCAAATTAGCTATGAAGCTCTTTTTCACAAATGTCTCGTAGGGGTCAGATTAGAAAGTTAAGTTAATATTTGGTGTACCCCTATATATATATTTTAGTTTTAATCGAGGGGCCCTTGAGCTACCTGAGGCTCTTTTGCTTTGTGTGATAACACCTAGCGCCACCACTGGATGGCGCAACGATGAAATATCGATTCTTACGCCCAGCATGTGAAATTGAGTCCAGCATGTGAAATTGAGTCCAGCATGTGCATCAAATACTGGGTATGATAAGAAATTTGATTCGTGTGTGTGTGTATATATGGTATCGAATAATTTAGTGCATGTGACCCCTGGCAGCCATTACAGACGCTACGTGAACAATGTTTAAAAGAGGATAGCTTTTCAAATATTCTTGCCTAAATAGTGATAATTCATCCGATCAGAGCGAGGGAAGTGGGGGGGGGGAAATTGTTCCACACCTATAGAGCATTCGTGGGAGTCAGGTGCCACGGGTGCTGCCAGGACACAGCAAGGGTTCCTTTAGGGAACGGGCCATTATCAGTGGCATCTGTACAGGCTGCTCTCTCACATTAAGCCTGCTAAGCAAGTTCCATTTTTACTATTTATGCATTTCTCTTCAAGGAGTGCATTAACCGCCTCGCTGGTTATGCATTTTTTATGAGGCTTTTAAAATGTGTAGATGTGCGTTTCTATAGCTTTGTACGCTTAACGTGGTTGCCAATGGGTATTCCCTTACATTCAGCAAATGTTATATTTCATGAAATGTAATATTGTCTCTGTGTGATTTATGATTGACAGCCCTTTGTGAATCCATCGCTGGATGAAGGCCTCCCCACACCATATCGGTCATGGGGGTTGTTTGACCATACTTCACCACGCTGGAAAGTAGAGGTTGGGGAAGGAGGTATCAGGTATCTCGCCACGGATGTTAGTCGTGGTCGGGAATCGAACTCGGATCACGGGGTTCATAGGGTAGTCCACTCATCGCTACGCCACCAACTCTCCCTTCTCAGCATACCTCAACGTATATTTCACGGATCACTGATGAGTCGATTAGCTGAGTAGTTTCAACACAAATGGAAATGGCGTTTGTTAATTCACGATCCAAAATGCGAAATGTGTAAATTATTAATCGATTGACGCACCAACTGTATTGACAGTTACGTTAAAATATTCACACAGAGAACGCGGCACAAAAAACATCACGCCAGCACATGCAGTGTAAAAGTCACCCTCTCAAAACATACCCCGGGAGAAAAAAAAAAGACTAATAGCTCGGTAAAAAAACTAATTCGGTTGGAAATGGGGGGATCTGGTGCATGGCACGAAATTAAAGGATGGATGGGATGAAAAAAAAAACACCAGTTAGGAATGAAACGCGACAGAACGAACGGGGCGGCGTTCCTTCGCATTCTACAGGGTGCGTCTAAAGTCAGGAGCCGGCCGGAGCGTCTTCGTGGATACTGCGTAGGATCACATTGGTTAGGCCGCGTGGCCGCTCTCTCCTTCGTGATAATTGGTTTTTTACCCTTTTATCTGGCAACAAAACTGACACATTTTTTACAAGGAGTCATGTTTGCATTGACCACAATACCTGCAGTCATAATGCAAACAAAAAAAAATAACTCTGATAATGTATGCACTGTCCTTGAAGTTGATTGGTCCACACCCGAGACAGCTTTCCTTAGAGCCTAGTCTCACATGGTGTTGGACCAGATGACGCCAAAAGGCGCATACATTATCAGAGTTATGTTTTTTGTTTGCATTATGACTGCAGGTATTGTGGTCTATGCAAATATGACTCCTTGTAAAAAAGGTGTCAGTTTTGTTGCCAGATAAAGGGTAAAAAACCAATAATCATATTTTTACTGGCAAATGAGGTTCGAATGGTGTAAATTCTTACCCCGAGCTCTCTCTCCTTCATGTTGTGCCGCGAATGTTGTCCAACACCGTGTCTGACATTTCCACTCAAAGCCAAATCGGTTGCCGCAGGACTTGCCAGCACGTGGGTCCTAACATCGCGCGGTACAACCTCAAAACTCCCCGGAGAAATACTGTGGCTATTTTGATGCTCATTGAATACGTGAGCCGACTGTGCTCAGATCAACGTGGACGTGCCGACGAGCGATCGAGCATCCCGTGCGAAAAATGCTCGCGACGTGCATGTCCAATCGAATACTGCACGGTCCGAGCGTCCGCTGTACAACTGACTGCACAGACGTACGGGCTCCTGATGTTTTTGCTGCACCCTGTAGGCCATGCAGCAGCTAGATGTCTCCACGCTGGGTCGTGGCGCACACACACATCGCATGCCCAACCGGTACCTGATGCAAACGAGGCTCAAAATATAAAGGGAGACAAAGAGTCGCTTGAAAATCCCAGCTGTAAGGTGACACAAGAATGCAACGGAATGAAAACCTGAGTGGGTGACAAATACTGCACAAGAGATTCAGATTATTTGTCATACTGCCTGCCAATGCAGTAATGTTAAACCTTGGCAGCATGTACATTTTTGTCCCTCTGCCTATGACTAATAATTATAACGATTTCCTTTATGTACCCAGAGGCTCACTGAGTCTTAAGACTCTTTTTGAGGAGAGTCCTGCATCGGTATGTTTGTCCTCAATTCCATTAACGAGTTGTTGTTGTTTTTGTTGCTTCATATTGGTGGTAAATGGAGAGAACCCACACGTAATGGGGTGGGGGGGAGGGGTAACACTCAAAACTCCACACAGATGGATTCAATCCACTGCTGTCCTGCCATCAGCTGGCCACCTGGCTGCCCAGGTAGTCTCCCCAAGAGCTCCCACGACCTGACTCAGGCCTGTACAACAACACAAGGCGCCTTGTCCCAGCAGGAGGCTTTTCTCGAGGCTAGCTGGCTAGTTGTGGCACGGTGGGTGGGGGTTGGGGGGGGGGGCATCGTGGGGCGTGCACCTCCGATTAGCACGGGTGGCTACGTACGGTGCGAAAGAAGTTCAACGCACAGTACACACACGTACGTACGCACCTCCTTGTAGTGAACGTGGCTTCTGCCCGGCGCTTTGTGCGCGACCTCCAGCTTCACGGCCTGCGTGGCAACTCGGTAGGAGGGGTTCGTGTAGATGAGGTTGTCTGACGTCGGGTCCTCAAATGCAGTCTTCTTTTTCCTGCGGTCAGAAAGACAGAAGGGGAGGAGGAGGAGGAGAGAAACTAAAACATCCGTATTCAAGAATCTGCATTTGACAGCCAAGTTTGTCACGGAACTCACTTGAGCCACTTACATAATACAGAGTCGGGAGAACAGCCCATTCTCACTGTTAATGGTCGAGATAATAAATAGTGGAGTGGTTGTGGTGACGGTTAGGAGAATGGGTGGGAGTGGTTAAGGAGGGGTAGTGATAAATGTAGTGATAGGGTTGAGGTAGTGATAGGGGTTGGAGTAATGATAGGGGCTGGGATAGTGATAGGGGTTGACATAGGGATTGGGGTAGTGATAGGGGTTGGGATAGGGGCTGGGGTAGTGATAGGGGTTGGGATAGAGGTTGAGGTAGTGATAGGGGTTGGAGTAATGATAGGGGCTGGGGTAGTGATGGGGGTTGGGATAGGGGTTGGGGTAGTGATAGGGGTTGAGATAGGCCTCGTCGGAGCTGGGGAGACCAGGCAGTAGCAGTAGCAGGATGGGCTAGGGCAGGGGTCGGCAACCTACGGCTCCGGAGCCGCATGCGGCTCTTTACGGGCTGCTTCTTGACGATGAGTACGTATGTACTCAGATGCATTGCGGCTCTTGAAATACTGAATTTTGTACCGAATTGGAAAGAAATGGCTCTTCTTGTTATTTTGGTTGCCGACCCCTGGGCTAGGGAGAAGAGATGAGATTTAAGGGAGGAACAGATGCAGGTTGAGAGTGCAGATGATTGTTTTATGGGCACTTGGAGTTTGATCCAACTACACGGGCATCTGTGGGTTGCGGGGGGGGGGGGGTATGTGCCGGGCTGCTGACGAAGGTGGATGGACCGCGGGAAACCCCATTTCATCCTCGCAGCAGCGCCAATGCCAACCGCGCTTACACCGCCATCTTTGAGCGTTCCTAACGTTTGGGACCGCCCCGATGTAACCACAAGACGGCGGTCGCTGCGTGGAGGTTGTGTGGTTGCGCTGCGAGGTCGCTGCGGGCCAGACTCGTCACCTGCACACGATGATGATGGCGATGAGCGCCAGGACGCTGACGAGGGACATGGCCAGACCGACGATGTATGCCGTGTGCAGACCGGAATCTTTCAGGGATAAGAAAAAAAAACCACACACAAATTAAAAAGCAAAACATTTCACAACATCCAGCTCATCTTGAGATCGGGCACACTTTGGGTGACTTTGTCTGAGGCAATCGCACAGTAAGGCTCCGGTTAAACATCTAGAATGTTACGTAAGTTGTTTACAAATCCCGTAAGTATTACTCAAGCTCGAGAACCTGGGCACGTGACAGTGGATTATTGATAACGGAGGGAGTTGACTGTTCTCTCACACCGCCTAGGCCAACTCAGCCTTCAGATGTGTACCTGGCGCGGTGTGTAAACATCACCACTCACTTTCACTGCACCGCGCGTTTTCAGATGCGCTTCTGCGGCCGTTTGGAGCGCTCTTGCTTCGAATGCTCGGAAGCCACTGGAGCTATGCACTTTTAAATCTCAATTGAAAACTCATTTCTTGAGGACTGCTTTTTGTGTTTACTTTCTTGTCCTTCCCCAGCACCTCCAATTGGGACGGTTCGCGATGTACTGGTGCGAAACAAGTTCAACATACATACACACACCCATCTGGGAGCCCCGTTTGCCTGGCATTATACTATCGAGTATAGAGACTGGTCGTGAGTGACTGATGCAGGGCGACAAAGCCTGAAGGTCTGCTGCAAGCACAGCTCCTGAGGCTGCGAGGGCACCACTCACCGCTGGCAACCCGCGCCGTCTCGTTGTAGAGAGCTCCGCACAGTCGCCCTCCCTCCGCATTCTCCATGCACCTGCGTGGAAAGCAACGGCGTCATGCTTCACCGTTATCGCCGCCCCCCCTCCCCGCGCCCCCACTCTCGCGATGGACCCGATGACTCGCCACAGGGTATTTCTGAGTAGAAACATTCAGAGGCCCCGTAGCTCTGGCCAGATTGCTCATCATTGTCACCATCGTCATCATCAAATCTAACATTTCGATTTAAAGCTTTCGTGACTGCAGGGATTCATCTTCTTGGTTCTTTCGGTAAAGTCACGTAGAAGGGTAATAATAAAATAATACAAATTTACATAATAAAATACAATTCTCACGACGTTTTGGCCACAACGCAAGCAGCCGTCCTCAGGTGAAGAACAGGTCTGTGGGAAAGACAGCGTCTGAATGACAGACCTGTTCTTCACCTGAGGACGGCTGCTTGCGTTGTGGCCGAAACGTCGTGAGAATTGTATTTTATTATGTTTTAATTTTATTATTTTATTATTTCCATTCTACGTGACTTTACCGAAAGAACCAAGAAGACAAATCTAACATGTTTACTAATTCCCGTGAGTGAATATCTAACTCCCCCCCGCACCCCCCCCCGCATCGGTTCAATCCGAAAAACAAGTTGGTCCACAAAAAAACATTTCTTACTACGAGCGCAATGTGCGAGGCCGTGCATCACCCCCAGGGCTCTATCCCGGTTCGCATCCTCCCCGGACCGTCGACACCACAAAGCGTTTACCGCACCCGGCGCTCACCTCACGGTGGTGTTGGCGGGGTTCGTTGTCTGCGCGACGGTGAACGGCGGCGCTGGGGCGGCGGGCGCCGACTCGGTGGCGAGGGGCCGGCTCGTGGACCTGGTCACTGCGGGGGTCGTCTCCCGCGGCTCCGGCACAACTCCCGGCACTGCGGGGTTCCCGGGGAAGTTAAAATTAGTTTTGAAATGATGAACAGCTCGCTTTGATTCGTCAGTCATAGACGAGCGCGCAAATAATTTTTAGCAAAATCAAATCGAACGCGAGTTGCTTCACAGCCAATATAGAACAGCGGTTCCAACCAAATGCCAACGTTTTACTGGGCTAATACCCAGTAAGCAATATGTGTACGTGTACACATACTGCCAAGTATCATGTGTATACATACTGGGGAATGGCAGTGCAGTGGTTACGAACCCTGTGACCCAAGTTAGATTTCCACTTACGGCCAAACCAGTGACAAAAATCTGAGCTAGTCCTGGCTCTCTCCTAGGTCGACTTAGAGTTGGTGTGGCCGAGGTGGTGCGGACAGGGGGTGGTGTGGCTGGGGTAGTGTGGCTGGTGTGGTGTGGCTAGGGTGGTGTGGCAGATGTGATGCAGCTGGTGTGGTGTGGCTAGGGTGGTGTGGCTGATGTGGTGTGGCTGTGGTGGTGTGGCTGGTATGATGTGGCTAGCATGGTGTGACTGGGGTGGTGTGGCTGTGGTGGCGTGGCTGGTGTGGTGTGGCTGGTGTGGTGTGGCTGGTGTGGTGTGGCTAGGGTGGTGTGGCTGGTGTGGTGTGGATAGGGTGGTGTGGCTGTGGTGGTGTGGCTGGGGTGGTGTGACTGGGGTGGTGTGACTGGGGTGGTGCCACTGAAGTGGTGCGGCTGGGGGGGGTTCGGCAGAGGTGGTGTGGCCGACACCAACACGGCGCTCACCGATGGAGCACGGCCGCTGGTCGGGCCGGTCAGGGCACGCGCACACGTAGTCCGTGGCCCTGGCGAAGCAGAGGTGCGAGCAGCCGCCATTGTTGTCTCCGCACGCGTTGGTACCTGAGGGGCGGGGGTCAGGGGGGGGGAAACATGGAAATCATTAAAATTGTTTAACATATATAACAATTTGTTTTTATTGTCGTTAAATAATCCACAGTACAGTAGGAATGTTAAAAGGAGGGGCAAACAACAGCTAATGTATAACAACAGACAGCGTATCACGAGGGGTGTCCGCTGTCCTACCGTGCTAGGGGTTACGATCGAGAGCAGTGTATGTAAATTACTCTTTGGCTCTTTCGGTAAAGTTACGTAGAAATAAAAGAAAATAAATAATAGAATACAACGTTTCGATTGCAACACAAGCAACCGTCATCAGGTGTGAATGAATGCAAGCTCGGAGAGAGACACATATACAGAGAGAGAGAGACAAATACAGACACGGAGAGAGACAAACGCACAGAGAGAGAGACGCACAAAGAGACACAGATGGGGAAGAGACACATAGAGAGACACACACGCAGAGAGAGACACACACAGAGACACACAGAGAAACAACGCCTCTGTGACGAGGCATTATATATTTGTAAAATACATATTATTATATTATTTTTTATATGTAAATTGTTTCTTTCAAAAAAACTAAACTAAGGCAATTTCCCGTTGCTCAAATGAGCATTGACGCGTTGTTGCTCATCTTCGGTTTACAGCCCCGAACCGTAGGTGGAAACCCCCACATTACTTTGGCAGCGGTGAGTCTATCCACAAACTTGATTTCCCCACAAAGTGGTACTCGTTTTATCGACCCCAGAGTGATCACAAGCCGAGTCAACCGCCCCCAACCAGGATTAGAACTCACAGACTTCCAACTGCGAGCCGCTCGCTCTGATGCCCGAGCCACCTGGCCGGATACAAACCCCGTCACGACGACGTACGCAGCAACACATCTCCACTGGACACAGCGGCACAGCGCGGTTGGCACGGGCCTCGGTGCGAGGAATTAATTTACCCCCCACCGCCCGCCACCCGGCATCCAATTGCCTCTCTCTCCGTAGCCCGGCACTTGAGCCCCCACCCCCCCCCTTCAGCCCGTGGATCGCGGTGCGATGGTTGAGATAGCCACGCTGTCGACTGGCCGAGGCCAATTCCGCACGTTTGTCTGGATTAATGCCATGTCCAGCTAAGATAAAGATTAAAAAAAAATGTATTCCCATTTAAACGTTCAGTTGTTGAGGTTAGCACACCACACTGTGAACCTGGAGACTCGAGTTTGATTCCCGGCCATGGCTAACATCGATAGCAGAGAGCGATATCTGATCCAGTTCTGGGGAACCTTTTCGCGCCGACGATTAGCACGGTTGGCGACATGCGGTGCGAAAGAAGTTCAACATACGTACATTTTCACCACCTCACACTGCCCATCAGGGTGAAGTATGGTCAAACAGCCCCCGTAACCGGCACAGCGTGGGGAGGGCTTCATACAGCAGCGGATTAACAGAGTGCGGTAAACTACAGTAATATATATACGTAAATATATTTTAAATGTAAATGAGCCAGGGGTCAGAGGACAAACTAACAAGAAAAGCCATTTTTGTCGAATTCGGGAAAAAAAACTCAATATTTCAAGAGCCGCAATGGCGGTGGTCCTTAATAAGTAACGTCACGAAGCAGTTATTAAAATAACCGCGTCCGGCTCAGCAGCAGCTCAGCAGCTGTATGTGATATGTGGTAGCGGAACACAATTCAGAAAAAGTATCGGAAAACCAAAAAAGAACGGGGGAAAAAAAACGCCGTGGGTAACAATAAAAACGACGATAATTGGTTTTTTACCCTTCTATCTGGCAACAAAACTGACACCTTTTTTTACAAGGAGTCATGTTTGCATAGACCACAATACTTGCAGTCATAATGCAAAAAAAAACACAACTCTGATAATGTATGCACTGTCCTTTATTTTGTTTGCATTACGACTGCAGGTATTGTGGTCTATGCAAACATGACTCCTGGTAAAGAAGGTGTCAGTTTTGTTGCCTGATAAAAGGGTAAAAAACCAATTATCGTATTTTTTACTGGCAAATGAGGTTCCAATTGAATAAAAGCGACGTTTCACGAGCGGGGCAAGTACCAGTCTGACGGAGGGGTGACACGGCGATGATGTCCATGAGTCCCTCCATGTTGGGCAGGATGGTCTCGCGGTTGCGGCCTGTGCGCTTGTCCACGCGCTGGATCGACTTGGTCTGCCAGTCGGTCCAGTAGATGAAGCGGTCATGCTGCGGGATGGACGCAGGGCGACGTCCGCCGGACACGCACCCGTTAATTAGAATCTTTAGTGACACTCAAGGAGGAATCCCGATGAGTTGTGAAGCTCTTTTTCATCGCTATCCAGTAGGAGCGCGGGTCAGAACGTTACACCAACGAACAATTTCGATATCCAGTAGGACCGCGGGTCAGAACGTTACACCAACGAACAATACAAAAAAAACGATGGGAGTGCAAAGGATAGTTAAAGTATAAGCAAATCACTTTAAAAAAATACAAATAAAACTATTTTTTTTTTACCAGGTAAGGCCCACTGACCTGGCCACAAATGATAGCTACAAAAAGTGGCTTATCACGTGGAATTTTTTCCCCGAAAAATAATCTAAACACACGTTTCTATTCACGCGACACGCACGGGGGAGGGGGGGGGGCGGTCGCGGGGAGTCTTTGCCCCCCCTCCACCCCCCACCCCCGACCCCCGCGTCGCCGCTCGCTCACCTGCGTGAGGGCGAAGGGGTGAGGAACCTCGCTGACGAGCACGGCGCGGGACTTCCCGTTGAGGTCGGCGCTCTCGATGCGGTCCAGCTGAGCGTCCACCCAGTACAGGCTGCGCGCCGCGGACACGCACCGCACACGCGTCGCACACGTCGACGAGTGAGCCACGCGTCACGGCGTCGCGGTCGCCCCCCCAACGACAAAACGACGTTCGATTTTTTTTTTACTTTAAATCCCTCGCCAAACCTCCTTCGCATTTCACAAGTAATACTAATCGCATATCTGCATTTCCCATAAATATGCTAAATTCCTCTTGATATGCAAATTATTTTGTCAAGGCGCTCTTCGCCCCCTCCACCCCAGCTTAAATAGTCGCTCCAAGCCTGGGGCTTGTCATTCAGACTCTGTCTCCTCAGCAGACCTGTTCTCCACCTGAGGACGGCTGCTTGCGTTGTGGCCGAAGTGAGAATTATTTTATTATGTTTTATTTTTATTATTTTATTATTTCCATTCTACGTGACTTTACCGAAAGAACCAAGAAGAAAAAAAAACGACGTTCGTTTGGAACAACGGGAAGCTGCGGCCGTTTGTTGATGAGTACTTACAAACGGGGGGTGGCAGGGGGGTGCGCCTTTAGTTTTATTTTACGAATGGATAAGGGCTGAATTACATTGCTGGTCACACGCACGCTGCAGTGGACACTGAAGGGCTATCGGCCTATGGATTGTGGTGATGATGATGGGGGGGGGGGGGGTCACACAAACACTGAGACACTGAACCATGTTGCTGTTGCTTCGTACACTTTTATGCACTCTTAATTTAGCAGGTAAGGCCCACTGAGCTATGCAGCTGTCTTTGAGAAGCTATCACAAATGATAGCTATCACAAATGTTAGCTCAACGAAGTGGCTTATCATCATGTGGAAATTTACAGCAGCCAAGTACTCTAAACGCTCGTTTCTAAATGTGGAGGGAAATATCGGAGGAACCGGAGAAAAATCCACGCGACCACGGGGAGAGAAACATGCAAACTCCAACGCCAGAGTCGGGATCAAACCCACGACCTCCTGTATACCAGGCGAGCTAGTTAACATCTTGCCACCGTGACGTATATATTATATATACGCATACTTATACAAAAATAATCGTTGTACATATGTACATTGAACTTCTTTTTCACCGCGCGTAGTCAATCGCGCTAATCGAAGACGCAAGGAAAAGACAACTAAATAATAATTGTGGAGGTGCCTCGAACATTTTTCAGGGCAGGTAGAGAGGGTTTTGGTTACATCGAGGCATGCCACTGTTCGTCCATTCGCCGTCCGTGTTTGTGCACGACCGCCCGCCGATCTTCAAGAGATTCCAACGAATCCTTCGTCCCGTCACACCGACAACGCAGCTGGGATAACATTGTAAAACACGACTTGTTGAAGGAATGAGTGTTCGAGACCAGGTGGTCGCCTTTCCTACAGACTGCAAACTAAGAGGGATGGACGAGGAGGTCAGAGGGCGGGAGAAGGGAACGGGTTAAAAGATGGGTGGACCCCTGGGCGGACAAGTGGCGACGGAGCTAGGAGCGAGGGGAGGTTGGTACACACGTCCATAAGCTGGGTGTGTATTATTTGATTGGTAGAATGTTCCTTTTGCCACCCCTCTTCCCTCTCATCCCTGGTTTTCCCTTACTATTATAATGACAGGAGAGTCAACCTACGGTGTGAGAGGACTAGTGGCCACGGGAGACCTACGTTGTATCGGGCTCGCACTTTTGTCGCAATAAAAACATGATATCTATAAAAACAAAACTCCTTGGTAGCAAAAAAAAAAGAGAGATTTAACAGAGCAGCGGCGAGCAAAGCAACGTCCGCCCGACCATAGAGGGTAATGAAGACTGCTGCGACGATGAGGCCTCACCGCCGGGTGTCGTAGTCGAGCGTGAGGCCGTTGGGCCAGCCCAGGTTGGAGTTCACGAGGACTCGGCGCTCGGACCCATCCAGTTGCGCCTTCTCGATCTTGGCCTCGTGGCCCCAGTCCGTCCAGAACAGGTACCTGCCGCAGCGAGGGGAAACAAAGGTTCAAAATGTGTTTTTAGTTTTTTCGATAAGAATGCTGATAATCTCTTCCTCTTCCCTTCCATCATGACATTGTTTTAAGGGCGCCTTATAATTTAAATTATTATTATTATCAGTGGTCACTTGCTGGCTGATGGTGAGGTTGAATAAACGTCTTATACTCCTTGCTATCTCCGATCTGGGGCAATTCACGGCGATCGCTTCGTTATTTTTGGACTTAAAGTTGCAGCACTTTGGGGGGAAGAGTTGTGCGGATCGCGTAAACATTCGTGTAAATCGCCAAAACCCACAAATCAAAACCTACAGACAAGATAGGACAAGATTCAGGATGACAGATATGAATTATAATTTTTTTTTTACGTTAATGGCATTTATCTCCGTCTTATCTTACGGCCGTAATTCAAGCCGATTGCACAGTTCACCCCTGTTTTGTTTCACGATGTCCCGAGGGGGCCGACATCTTTCGCTCGTCTTTTTGCTCCTCACGCCTCGCGCCGCACACCGAGCCCGCACCCCTTGCGCGGGAAGACGGCGATGGCGCGCGGCTCGTCCAGGCTCTGGTTGATGAGCACGCGGCGGCAGGAGCCGTCCAGGCGCGCCACCTCGATGCTGTTGCGCCCCGTGTCCGTCCAGTAGAGGTTGCGCGCGATCCAATCGACGCTGAGGCCGTCGGTGGTCGTGAGGCCCTCCCCGATCACCGTCTCCATGCCCGTGCCGTCCAGGTTCACCCTCCTGCGCCGTGACCGCGCCAGCGACGCGCTCGTCAGTGACTCGGTGGTGACATGTTCGCTGCCTCGCCTGGTATACAGGCGGTCGTGGATTCGATCCTGACCCTGACAAGTGTATACTTAGAGTTTGCACGTTCTCCCCGTGGTCGTGTGGATTTCTCTCCGGATCCATCGGTTTTTCCCTCCACATTTAGAAACACGTGTTTAGAGTATTTGGCTGCTTTAAATTTCCACACGATAAGCCACTTCGGTGAGCTACCTTTTGTGATAGCACGCGCGTCGCACCCAGGGCAGATATGTGTCCCTGTTGACAACCCCAGAAAATATCTCTGCTCGCTGCACTCCGCATCTACGCACACCACCTCCAGTATACCCTCCCGCTATGGCAGCGGCTGCTCCAGCAGCCACGTGCCGCCCGACTCCAGTCTACCAGGCGACAGGGAAAATATTCAGTGAGAAACTAAGCCCTGGTCACGCCACCTCCAGGATACCTCCCCGCTGTGGCCGCGGCTGCTACAGTAAGTCACGTGCCGCCCGACTCGGCGGTCCCGGAAAACAATTCGAGCGAGGAGGACGAATTTCCCCCCCTTTCCGGTCCGCACCTGATGACGTCCAGGTGCACGTCGGTGTAGTAGACCTTCCCCTGCGCGGCGTCGTGGTCGAGCGAGATGACGTTGTGCAGGTCGGGCACGGGCACCGTCACGTCCGTGTGGTCGGCCGTGTCGAGTGACACGCGGCGGATGGACGCGCGGTTCGAGAAGAGCAGGAACGACTCGGGCCCCGCGGGGCAGCTGCGCCCGTCCGCCGCGAGCCGCACGCCCGTGGGGCACGCGCAGGCCGGCCCGCTCGGCCGGGCCAGGCACAGGTGGCTGCAGCCGCCGTTGAACGTGCCGCACTTGTTGAAACCTGCGTCTCGCGCGCGCGCGCAGGGGACCGGGAGCGCAACGCGACTGTGAATTTACGGAAGCCATGCAGCCGGCCAGGAGTGGAAGATGGCAGCAGCAGCAGCGGTCGTCACGCGGCCACGCTCTGTTCGGTGAGAGATCAACGACCGGTTGCCATCGTCAACCCGGCGACCGAACGTCCATCGACGATCTCCCGGTCTCCAGAGCTGCAACAACCGAACCAGCCGGGCCGCTCGGCGGTAGAGCGAGCAGCTCGCGAACGGAAGGTCGCGAGTTAGAATCCTGGTTCGGGGTTGACTCGACACATCTTTCATCTGACCAGGCCTGTATCCAGCAGCGGACTGACAAAGTGTTGTAAACACGGGCTACATAGACTCCTGACCTATTCCAATTTTTTGAGATGTATTTTCAAGATCACTGCGGCCGATTATACAAACACCATGGTCGATCCAGTGTGCGTGGGGGTGTTGGCCGTTTATCCATCATTGCGGTAGAGAGGCAGGCCGTGCGTTACTTGTTGCTAGAAACGACACCGATGAGACAGAACGCTGGACAGGCGCCGTCGCGGATCGTGCGGGCGAGCGGGGGGGGGGGGGGGGAGGGCGGGTGGTAAAAAACGGACCGGGCGGGCGCGTGCGGTCGACGGCGTGGATGTCCATGAGTCCGGCGAGGTTTCCCGCGCACGGTGAAGGGGGCGCCCCCGCGGAGGCGGTCGGCCCGCTGCACGCTGCGCGTTTGCCAGTCCGTCCAGTAGATGTGCTGCCCCAGCAGCGTGAGGCCGTACGGGTGCTGCACGGGCGACACCAGCGTGCGCCGGTGGTTGCCGTTCAGGTCCGACGCCTCGATGCGCTGCGTGCGGTGGGGGAGAGGGGGATGGAGACGGGGGGGGGGGACAGGGGCGAGGGGGGCGAGGGGGGAGACGCCGGGAGGGTTACGGCGCTTGGAATGCGTGCGTGCCGGTGTGTGCGCGTGCATACGTACGTTTATAATTTTTGTTCCCATGGTTTTTTTCATGACCCCCACCTAATTGTTTTTATCCCAACTACATCGGTGAGCTAAAAACACGTACGATGTAGCTAGTATTGGCCAAACATCCCATGCGAATAGGGTGCGAGCGGCGTGCATGTGAGAAGTCCGTGCGAGCGGCGTGCGCGTGATCAGCGCCCACCTCCGTGTGCGCGTCGGCCCAGATGAGCTGCGAGCCGGCACGGTCCACGACGAGGCCGTTGGGCCAGCCCAGGTTGTGGGCGATGACGGTCGTGCGCTCCGAGCCGTCCATGCCGGCGCGCTCGATCTTGGCGTTCTCGCCCCAGTCCGTCCAGTACATGTACCTGGCGTGACGAGACGGGGCCGCCCGGTCAGATCGTGCGGCCGCTCGTGACTCGCACCGCGGTACTTACAAACATGGGGGGCCATCAGTTTAATTTGACAATTACATCGTGATTGGAGGGGGGGAGGGTCACACGAGCACTGTGACACTGAACCACGTTGCTGTGTTGCTCCAACCATGGCCATGCATAGCTTTGCCACTTAACGACGATAATAAAAACAAACAGCTGTCGTCGGCAGTGATGCCGATGGTCGCGACGATGACGACGACGCTGACGTTGACGATGCCGGTAAAGGCATTGGGTGGGGGGATGGGTAGGGGGGGGGGTTTAGGTGGGGGGAGGGGGTGAGGGGGGGGTCACGCAGGAGGAGCGGCGGGCTTCAACTCGATCCGCGCACCCGGAGTCGTGGTTGAGCGCGAGGGCCCGTGGCGAGTCGAGGTTCTGCCAGATGAGCACACTGCGCTGCGACCCGTCCAGGTTGGCCACCTCGATGCGCTTCGTGCCCGTGTCGGCCCAGTAGAGCTTGCGGCCCTGCACGTCCACCGCCAGGCCGTCGGTGGTCACCAGGCCTGCGCCGCGACGTGGCCGAGGGGACATTAAACACCAAGTGCTCGCCACAAACCAAGAGCACGATACCTCGCTGCTAATCTCGTCACGGAGCATAAGCTATCGCGCGGACTCTCGTCATCCTCGCAGCGGCGGGTGCTGACTGGCCATCGAACAAACACGGTCAAACTAATCGCGCGCTTTTACATGCGTGTCTGCGGCCATCTGGAATGCTCTTCCTTTGGATATTAGTAAGCCACTTGGAGCTATTCACTTTTAAATCATCTATATTCCAAATTAATTTCTTTAGAACTGCTTTTTGTGTTTCGTTTGTTGTCCTTCATATGTTTGGCTACGTACGGTGTGAAAAAAGTTCAACAGACATACATTATCATTAATAATCAATGTTATTACTTTAATGACAAAATAAGCCTTTGATGGAAATAATAAAAAAGACAAAAACACGATCTCCAAACAACGGCTCTATGGGCCTCTCCCCCAATCCGAGTGGATCTGGAGTTGGGCCCTGCTGGATGTCGCGGCTTCTGGTGTCACTCACCACTGGTGGTGAGGAGACACTCACCACTTGTGGTGTAACTCACCGCTGGCGGTGAGGTGACACTCACCACTTCTGGGGGTCACTCACCACTGGTGATGAGGTCCTCCTGCTCGGAGCCGTCCAGGTTCGCTCTTCCGATCTTCTTGAGCGTGCTGTCTGACCAGTACACCTTGCCTGGCGCGCACAGTGAACAAGCAAGCGAGCATGAGGCTGGTTTTTTGGGCAGTAGGGTCCCAGTTGATTTGGCAGATACAGAGCATTGAGGTGCAGTCGCACCTCAATGATGACATCGACGATGACGGCTACGTACAGCGGCGACGATGACATCTGTGTAAAAAGAGCTTTACGGCCCATCGGATTCCTCCGCTCCGAATTGAACATTCTCATCGCGATTCTGATTCCGACAGCAACCGAGCGGAGTTCGCTCGGGGCGGCACCTTGCTTGGAGTCGACGCCGACGGCGATGGCGTTCTTCAGCGAGCCGTTGAGCGGCAGCACCACGTCGGCGTAGTACGGCACGTCGAAGGAGATCATGCGGATGTCCGTCCTCCTCGCGAAGATCAGGAAGCTCTTCATGCCTGCTCGAGGGGAGCAGAGGAGGTATGGGTAGGCGGGAGGGGGGGAGAGCGGGGGGATGGGTTGAGGGGGAGTTGGGAGGGGACACACCGCAATGTCAGGAATGTTCAGTGATCACGCACGGGGAGATGCGAGGGGACAGATCGCTGTGCCTCTCGGCCGACCGCTCATCATCGGTGACTGCCCCACAAAAAACGCCCAACCTGTACGGTGAGGTCAACCGGCGTTCCTTGTTAAGTAGGCGAGACCCCCTCCTCCCCCACGCACCCCCCACCCCCCATTGAGAATCATTCTCCGTTGCAAGGGCAGAAACACCAAGCCCTTGGGAGCGATGCCTTCGTTGGAGAGGAATCTAAACTGGGTCTGAATGCTGAGTGCGGCCGTCTGGAACGCACTTCCTTCCGATATTCGGGAGCCAGCGGAGCTATGCACTAATTTCTTTAGAACTGCTTTTTGTGTTTATTTGTTGTCCTTCGCACGGTTGGCCACGTATGGTGTGAAGGAAGTTCAACATACATACATTATCATAAATAATAATCAATGCGATTACTTTAATGACAAAAGAACCCTTTGATGGCAATAATAAAAACAACGGCTCTACGGGCCTCTCCCCACAATCCGAGATGTTGTTGTCCTTCCGATTAGCACTGGTGGGCTACGTACGGTGCGAAAGAAGTTAGACACACGTACGTACATACCCAAGCAATGAAACCACAACCACATGTGACGCGGAAACATCTCCGTGCAGCGCCTCCACACAGGCAACAGCGATGAATCTCCTGCAGCATCACTCCAACCTCGCCTCATATCCCAAACCTGAACAATTGAGCCCCCCACCAACTCCACACCCCCCCACCGCCACCACCCCGCTTGTCAAATAACGAAAAAAAACTCAACACATCTGTAAAATAACACTGCCTGATACTTAGATATATATTATCATAATAATAGGTGACGCTTCGGGCAATAGCCCTTATTCACACCGCAGTAGGGGGGCCAGTGAGAAGCAGAGTGCGTAAGAGTTAGGAGACAGCACTTTACTTACCATAGCGGCCTGTTAAGAATTACCGTATAGAACAAAAACGTTTCTTGTATAACAGCGCTTGCATAACCCGCTTAGCGATGCGTTCCTGCGCTCGATCCTCAGTCGCTACTTTTTTTTTGTAGCGTAATAGTTTACGCTTGAATAGTGGGCACTGCCCGCGGCTGGGGTCCACCTGGGGCACACCTGGGGCACAGGTGGTGCCGTCCGAGTTGAGGGTGATGCCCGTGGGACAGGCGCAGCTGTGAGCTCCGCTCGGCGCCAGCAGGCACAGGTGGCTGCAGCCGCCGTTGTTGTGGAGGCACGCGGTGGCCACTGCATGGGACACGGGGGGGGGGGGGGGGCAGGGCAGGGGCAGAGGGGGGTGCAGGGGGAGCGATCCGTTGAGCCTTTCTATGTAGTAAGGCGGATGAGTGGTTTTCGTGAATTGGATGGGCGAGTGAGTCGGTAGGTTGAGTGATTGGACGACTGAATGAGTGCCTGATGATGTGAGTGCGCTATTTAACGAGTGAGCGAATGAGCGAGCGACCGATTGAGTGAGTGAGGAGACTTCATGAGCGAGTCATTGAACGAGTTGCTCCGTGAGAGAGCGAACGAGCGAGCGAGCGGCTGAGCGCGCGAGTGGGCGAGTTGACGAGCGAGCAGACGAGCACGTGAGCGAGCGTGCTTTTAGCGGGAGGGAAACGAGCGAGTCGGTAAGATCAGGAGCGAGCGTGACGAGCGAAGCGCGCTGGTCCGACGTCGCCCACCGGTTGGCCGCTGCCGGTGGAACATGTGCACGTCCATGAGGTTCTCCAGGTTCTCGCGCAGCGTCACGCGGCCCAGGCCCGTGGTCTTGCTGGCGCTCTGCAGGCTCTTGGCCTGCCAGTCCGTCCAGAACACGCGGCCCTCCCACACGGTGAGGCCGAAGGGGTGAGGCAGCTGAGTGTCAATCAGCACCTGTGGGCGGGGGGCGCATTAGTTAACGTCTCATAACGGTGGCGAGATGTTAGCTACCTTGCCTGGTATACAGGAGGTCGTGGATTCGATCCCGACCGGACGCCTGCTGCATGTTTGGAGTTTGCTCGTTCTTCCCGTGGTCGCGTGGATTTTTCTCGGTGTCCTCCGGTCCTCTTACAACATAAGGAAGCCACTGGGGCTGTGCACTTTTAAATCATCTCGATTGAAAACTCACTTCTTTAGAACTGCTTTTTGTGTCTGATTAGCACTGCTGGCTACGTAGGGTACGAAAGAAGTTCAACATGCGTACACACGATAACACTGCTCCAAAGCAGCACGTGCGTCACAGAGCACGACGCCAGTGGAGGGCGCTACAGAGAAACAAACCCCCTTGAACAACGGTCATTCCAATTGATTCAGAGAAACAGAGGGCACATTTGATTCAAACGACTTGAATTATTTATGCTACCCCTGAACAAAAACACAGTCCTTCATGCTCACACTGGGGGGGGCGGGGCGGAATGACACTTGAGAAGATGGTTTAATCACGAACAGCTGAAACTCACTTATCAGATTTAAACCCACGTGCTCATCTGTGCCAGCTAGGTGCCATGACCCCTGACCCGTGACCCCTGACCCACGTGGCCACCCCGGCACATGGGACTCTTTAATGGGGGCGGCCAGACGAAGAATTGCGCGGCGTTCCCCTCTGACGCGTTAGCGTTGTAAAACAAACGAGAGAGACGCGGGCACACCCCCCCGAACCGAACCCCATGTCCACCTGCCGCCCAGTGCCGTCCAGCTTCGAGTACTCGATGGTCTTGATGCCCGCGTCGGCCCAGTAGAGGCGGCCGGTGTCGTAGTCGATGGCCAATCCGTTGGGCCACGTCAGGTTGGCGCTGATGATGGCGGCTCGCTCCGAGCCGTCCATGCCGGCCCGCTCGATCTTGGGGCTTGCGCCCCAGTCGGTCCAGTACATGTAGCTGCCAGGACACGAGTGGGGGGTGGGGGGGCGGGGGGCGGTGGGGTGGGGCGAGTTATTCTGTCACTAAGTCACTTAGTCATTCAGGCACTCAGTGACATTGTCACTTAGCCAATTCATCTTTCAAAACATAGTTTTCTCAGCCATTCAGCCACCAAGTCACTTCAGCTACATAGTAACACAATCACTGGCCCAATTAGTAATTCACCTAAAGCCAATTGGCCACTTAGCCACCCAACCATCAGTGTGTTTCAAATGTCTGGGTGGTTAAACTGAAAATTTCCCACATCACTCTGGAGGGTGACGCGTCATCTCTAAACGCACCAAGCCACTGAAAACTTCAATTTTATCACCAATGATGGATGGATGAGACAATCAGTGGGTGGGTGGGCTGGTTGGTTGGGTTGGTCGGTGGGTGCGTGGGTGTTGGTGTTTGGGATGGGTGGGTGTTTGGATGGGTGTGTGGGTGGGTGCATGGATGGGTGCGTGGGTGGGTGTGCGGGTGGGTGGGTGTGCGGGTGGGTGGGTGTGCGGGTGGGTGGGTGTGCGGGTGGGTGGGTGCGTGGGTGTGGGTGGGTGTGTGTGTGGGTGGGTGTGTGTGTGGGTGGGTGTGTGGGTGGGTGTGCGGGTGGGTGTGTGGGTGGGTGGGTGTGCGGGTGGGTGGGTGTGCGGGTGGGTGGGTGCGTGGGTGTGTGTGTGGGTGGGTGCATGGGTGTGTGTGTGTGGGTGTGTGTGTGGGTGGGTGGGTGCGTTGGTGTGTGTGTGGGTGGGTGTGTGTGTGTGGGTGTGTGTGTGTGTGGGTGTGTGTGTGTGGGTGTGTGGATGTGTGGGTGTGTGTGTGTGTCTGTGTGTGTGTCTGTGTGTGTGTATGTGTGTGTGCGTGTGTGTGTGTGCGTGTGTATGTGTGTGTGTGTTCTCACCCAGAGACGGGCTCCACGACGATGTCGCGGGGGCGGTCGAGCCGCTCCCACACGAGCACGGTGCGCGTGCCCCCGTCCAGCGCCGACACCTCGATGCGGTCCGTGCCTGCGCCACCCCCCCCCCCACACGGAATCGGAATATTGATTCATGCTGGAGGAATCCGATGAGCTATGAAGTTGTTTTTCACAGGTGTCCAGTCGACATCTGCGAACGGTGGTGCCAGCGAGTTCCCCCGCCCGCTCCGAGGACAACGCTTTCCCGCCGAGGCCCAAGGCGTGTTTATAACTTTAGCTCCGTCCCTCTGTCGTTTCCGATGCGTGTCGCAGTCGGTCCCGCGCATTTGTTACATTTAAAATGCACACTTTTGTCTATTTTTTTTTTAATTCTCAGAACCTTACTGATGAAACGGTTTAAGGCGATTATGCTCAGGATGTGGTCTCGCCACGGTAAGCAAGCAAATCACGGTATGTGAGTCAATATTAAACAATTTAAGTTTTTATTAAACAACGTCGGGATGCAACAACAAGCACTACCCTCCCAGTAACCATAGCATCCGCCTCTCTCATAAACGAACCGTCCTCTCTCTCTCGCTGCAAATCAACTGCACCTGCTGTCTTACAGCACCCCACGACTCGGCGCACGCGGAGTTCCCCTGAACTCCGAGGTCGGCGGGGGCTTCACCAAACCGCTCGCCCACATCCCGACCGGAGCCCCGGCGGTCGCCGTGAGAACGCGCGCGGGGAACTTTGCGGCCGCTTAGGCTGCGGGTTGGCCACGATCACCGTCACGCCGTCACGCCCCCCCCTCCCGCCCCCAGCCCCCCCCATTCCCCACCTGCATCCGTCCAGTAGAGCTTCTCCGTGACCCAGTCGATGGCCAGCCCCGCCGGGCTCTCCAGGCTGCTGTCCACCACGACCTGCGGGCAAGGGGCGCACGCGGCAGTTACCGGGGCTGTGCGGCGGTTACCGGGGCTGAGCGGCGGTTACCGGGGCTGTGCGGCGGTTACCGGGGCTGAGCGGAGCCGTTTTTCTCCGCGGCCGCCCCCCTTGTTCAGATCCATCCCGCTCGATTGATTCATCTACTCCCACATTCGTCCCCAGGACTTCAGGGGCGATCTGTCCCACACTTGGTTGACTCGCGGACTGGCTGAGTAACCTCGGTCAGTGCCTCCAGCACAGAACTGTCCCGCTTGACAGGGCGATTCAATCATGGCCTACCCTCTACTCCAACTGGTTGATTCTTTGACCACACCATGTCTCGCTGGTTTATTTTGGGTGCAATATAATCGTAATTTTCGACTTGTAGCGTCAGCGGGATTTCGCTCGATCACACCAAGGAACGACGCAGAAGCGCGAGGAACCACAGGTGGTGACACAGCTCTGCAGTCCTCTACACGTTAAGGCGTTTTCCTTCAATTAACGACTTTGCACAAGTGGAGGGAAAACGGAGCACCCAGAGAAAAACCACGCGTGCGAGGAGGCAACGCTGTATCCCATACAGATGGTGATGAGTCCACTCGCTGTACAGCCATCTCCTGACAAGCCGGGGAATGGTACCTCCTCGACGCCCACTGGAAGGTTTCGCGATATCTGTGTGACCCACCAACCCTTGCTGCCTCCACAGCGCTGGCCGTCTGGAACGCTCTTCTTTTCGATATAAGGAAGCCACTGGAGCTATGCACTTTTAAATCATCATCGAGATTGACAAACTCATTTCTTCAAACTGCTTCCTGTGTTTAGTTTGTTGTCATTCTCCGCACCTCCGGTTAGCACGTTTGGCTACGTACGGTGCAAAAGAAGTTCAACATACATACAACATACATACGTACGTACAGCATAGTCAGCACCGCTCAACGAGTATCTCTCCTTTCAGCTGATCGAAGGACACTAGCCACGGATTGTGGGGGGTGGTGGGGTAGAGGGGGGGTGGGGGGCGAGCACCTCCTGCGCGGAGCCGTCCCACTTGGCACGGCTGATGGTGTCGGTGATGACGTCGGTCCAGTAGATGTGCTCGGAGCGATCGTGCCAGTCGAGCGCCACGGCGCTGCGCACGTCGGCCAGCGGCACCACGTCGTCGGAGCGCTCGTCCGTGTCGAAGCTGATCCGGCGGATGTCCGTCCTTCGGGCAAAAAGCAGGAACTTGTCAAGCCCTGATCGCAGGGAGGGAGGGGGAGGGGGTGGCACGGGGGGGGTGGAGGGGAGGGGGGCACCAGTCACTAAGGATCGTCGAGTACAGACGGACGGCAAATCACAAATACTTCTGAGTTGAATGTTAACATTTTTATGCTTCAGATATATATAAAACATTAAAATACAATAAGTGAAACAAACAAATATTTGGCCACCGTGGAAGGCTCTGCTGTGGTGGGGACAGCAGTGGCGTGCGCAGGCACTTGCAGGGCTGCGCATTTAGCAATTACAGAATTTAAAAACGTACAGAAAAACATACATGTATTCGGTATATATTTAACGATTTGCATTATAACACTATCCTTAACTTTACACATTCAAACAAAAAATGATTGCAATGTCAATATTTTGTTCATGCTCATGAAAATGACAATTTAAGTTCTCACAATTCTCACTCATGTTCAGAAAGCGTACGCGGGTGGTTAGAATCCTGTCTGCTAATTCTCACAGCATGCAGACATCGTCCCGACTGTTAAGAGAAGTAAGCGGCCCTGGGGCTGGGCGCGTCCTGCCCCGAAGGGACGATGGCTGACGGTCGAGACTAACAACGGAGTAGCGGCTAAAAGGAGAGAACGAGCCTAAGAGCGCGCCCGCCGACGAGAGATGGAACGACGAAGTCAACTTGAGTGCTGGATCTGGACGGGGGTCGGTGCATCGTGCAACCACGAGAGATGGCGACTGCTTAGGGGAATTCCTTCATCCAGCAGTGGATAGATCGTGGCTAATGGTGACGACGGCGACACGTCACCTGTTGTGACGGGTTCACACGACCCCCCTGTAGGGACCCCTTTGACCATTGCCACGACGCGGAAAAAAAAAGGATAAGAATCAATTATGGAATAGTGACCCAGAATCATGACGATTCATCGAATCGCGAGCAGGGGGGCGGAGGGCGAGAGGGGGGTGGGGGTTAGGCCCGGTGGATACAAGTCCACCGCTTGCGGCTTACGCTCGGAGCAGGTGTGCGAGTCGGCCTTGCGGTAGCCGGTGGGGCAGTCGCAGGTGAAGCCCTCGGAGTTGGGCAGGCAGAGGTGACTGCAGCCGCCGTTGTTCCGGCCACAGCGGTTCTTTCCTGCACAAGACAAAAACGACAAAGACCCCCCCCCATAGAGCCTTAATAGACTGCTGGGGCAAGTGCTGTTAGCGAGTAGGCCGAAAAGGCATGCGAGGAGGTGGGTGGCCAGCACCCCACCCGGCCGCCTTTGTCACCCGAGCTGTAATGTTTATACACCACACCAGGTACTGATTTGTGGTCGAGTCGACATAGGTGGAGTCCGGGATCCATTGATATGATCGCTATCACTGGCGTTGACCATGAGACGGAATCGAACCCGGGCCGCCGGGTTCGTAGCGCAGCGCGCTCACCGCTACACGCACGCAGCGCGGTGACGACGCACGTGTGAACGCCAGCGTGGGGTCTCCCTCGCACAGCAGACAATCGCGATTGTTGCATTGAAACGAACACCTCTTTCTGCTCCTCCCCCATCCACAGTTATATTCCTATTGTGTTAACGTCGTCACGTCCAAATTTATGATGTCACGCGCAAACGCAACAACAACAACAATCGCCATTGTCGGTAACGTCACCGCAGCGCTCGTGCCAGGCCAGGCGCACTTTGAGGTGCGCAACAAGCAACCAGGACGCTAACCACCGCAGAAGCCGAAATGCATCCGTGAGAAGACCCTTTCCTCCTCTTTCCCCAGTTCATCCCCGTCCAGGACGGGCCCTGGTGCAGGGGAGTAGGTTTGGGAGCTCCTGTCCAAACTCCCCCCGCCCCGCCCCCTTTCTGTCGATGCCCCACACCGCCGCAATTTCATCGCTTCACAAACGTCGCCGGTCACTCCCATCCAAATCGCTCGTTGATGCTGAGCCGTCGGTTCAGTGTGATAACCTAACCTTCAGCTGTACCCGATGCAAGCCCCTGTCTATTTATACATACGAAATAAACATGAAAAAAAAATCTATGTAACCCGGCACCTAGGCCTGTTCGGCTCACGGGCCACAGTGCAGTTAATTTAAACTAAAACTATTTTTATTGTACCAGGTTAGGCTCACTGAGCTCCACAGCTCTTTTTCAGAAGCGACCTGGCTATCACAAATGATAGTTCAACGAAGTAGCTGTTCACCATGTGGAAATTTATAGCAGCCAAATACACTGAACGCAGGGTTGATTCTAAATGTGGAGGGAAAAACTGGAGGACCCGCAGGAAAATCCACGCGGCCACGGGAAGAGCGACACGCAAAGTCCAAATCTACAGCAGGCATCAGGGTCGAGATTGAACCCACGACCTCCTGCATACCAGGCGTGGTAGTTAACATCAAGCCACCGTGAGATGGTGGGCAGGCAGTTGGGTGGGTGGGGGGGTCAATTGAGTGGGTGGGGGGGGCAGCTGGGTGGGTGGGGGGGCAGTTGGGTGGGTGGGGGGCAGTTGGGTGGGTGGGGAGGCAGCTAGGTGGGGGGGGCAGTTGGGTGGGTGGGGGGCGGGGCAGTTGGGTGGGTGGGGGGGCAGCTGGGTGGGTATGGGGACAGTTGGGAGGGGGGGCGGTGGGGGCGGCGTTTGCTCCGTACCGGCCGGCTGGCGCTGGGGGTGCAGCGTGTGGATGTCCATGGGGAAGTGCAGCTTGTTGCGCACGATCTCCTGGTTCTTGCCCGTGAACTTGTTGGCGCTGTTGATGCTCTTCGTGTGCCAGTCGGTCCAGTAGAGGCTGTCCTCGAACACTGTGATGGCGAACGGGTGCGGCAGGCCTGTCCGGGCGTCGCGTGAGCCCGTTCGAGAAAGTACGCTTGTGTAAAATGCTAATTCATAATCAACACGATCTGTCAAAGCGATTGCAGGCCATTACCTTGACATTCGGCTGTTACATTCTCGCGGAAAGGACACCGGTGATAATGAGCTCCATCGCTCATGGGATTCCTCCAGTCTAAATAAAGATTCTGATTCTGATGTGAAGTTGTGGGGAGCAGTGGCGCAGTGGGTTAGCACCCCGCATGGTGAACCAGTTCTGCTTTCTTCCGATATTAAAAGCCATTGCAGCTATGCACTTTTAAATCTAGATTGAAAACTGATTTCTTTAAAACTATTTTTTGTGTTTAGTTTGTTGTCCTTCTCCCGCACCTCCGGTTAGCACGGTCGGCTACGTACGTTTCGAACGAAGTTCAACATACGTAAATATATAAGTGAGAATCGCCGCTGTAGCGTGTTTTCCGAACAATCTGGAGTGAATCCACCCATGGTGGAAATCCGCTCGTGGTGGCAACCTGCCCTCCCTCCCTCCCTGGCCGTCCCAGCCGGACCATGCCGCCCGCCCACCTTGGCTGATGACGGCCTTGCGGTTGCGCCCAGTCGAGGTCGGCGCGCTCGATCACGTGGTGCTTGGCGTCGACCCAGTAGATACGTCGCCCGGCGTAGTCGATGGTGAGGCCGTTGGGCCAGAAGAGCGAGGTGTTGGCGATGACGCGCCGGTGCGAGCCGTCCATGCTCGCGTACTCGATGCGCGGGGTGCTACCCCAGTCAGTCCAGTAGAGCGTGCTGTGCAGAGGTGGGGGCCAAGACGGAGATGTATGGGGTTAGAGGAGTGTGTGTGGACTGCTGCTCTGTGTACTGGCAGTGTATGTGCGTGTCTGCGTGTTGGCCATAGCATCGGACAGTTATCTCAGTCAGTCGACCTGTGGCACCTGGGTCTGCCCCGTGACCTCCTGCCAGCGGGCGTTCGACACTTCACGTGGCCTCAACGTGCACATAGCCTGGCACGAGCGCCGTAGTAGCGAATGGCGGTTGTTGTTGATCACCCTCGTGGGAAGCGGTAGCGTAGCGGTTAGCGCGCTGCACTACGAACCACGGCGACCCGAGTTCGATTCCTGCTTACGAGCAACACCCTAGGTCGACTCAGCCTCGAATGAGTACCTGGTGCAGTGTGTAAACATCGCCACTGGGGAGACAAAGGCAGCCGGGTATTTTGCTGGTCACCCACCCCTCCGTGTGCCGTGCCGGCCTTCACAGGTGCTCGCTAACATCACTTGCCCCAACAGTCTGGTGAGGCCACATGGGGAATCTTTGTCTTTCTAACAGGTATTGTAGTGGCAGTGTCGTGGGAGCGGTAGTGCATTGTACTGCACGACGAACCCCGCTCACGGTCAACACGATCGACGATTATCCGAACCCATCCCGGAGCCTCCCGCTACTTCGACTGAGTAGCTGGTGCGGTAGGTTAACATCGCCACAGCGGCGACAAAAGCGGAGGTGGGGGCGGGGGGGGCAGGGGGGGGGCAGGGGGGGGCGGAGGGGGGGGAAGGGGGGGGGCACGCACCCTTCCAGCGGGTGCAGCGCGATGGCGCGCGGCTTCTCCAGGTTCCTCCAGAGCAGCACCTTGCGGTGCGAGCCGTCCAGGTTGGCCACCTCGATGCGCGACGTCCCCGAGTCGGTCCAGTAGAGCTTGTCGTGGATCCAGTCCACGCCCAGACCGCCTGCGTCGTGCCGCACGCGCCAGCGCGCCACGTACGCCGTTAACGCCGTTGCGTACGTTACGTACGTGGCGCGACGTCCGAGTCGGTCCAGTACAGCTCAACTCAAACAAAACTACTTTTTTATTTGTACCAGGTAAGGGCCACTGAGCTATGTAGCTCTTTTTTTTTTAAGCGCCCTGGCTATCGGGATATCGCAAGTGATAGCTCAACGAAGTGGCTTACCATCATGTGGACATTCATATCAGCCGAATACTCTAAACGCACCTGGATTCTAAATGTGGAGTGAAAAACCGGGGGAAATCCACGCGGCCACGGGGAGAACACGCAAACTCCAAACAGACAGCAGGCATCGTGGTCGGAATCGAACCCCAAACCTCCTGTATACCAGGCGAGGTAGTTAGCATCTCGCAACCGTGCCGCATGTCATGGGTCTAGTGCACGCCCAGACTTCCTGCATTGTGCCACGTGCACGCAAGTGCACCGTCACCGCCGTCGACAGCGTCGTTAATATCGCTCCTCACGAGAGAGAGAGAGGGAAGGGGGGCACGGGACAGCAAGCGGGCGCAAGCGGGCGCAAGCGGGCGCGTTACCTGGGCTCTCGAGCCCCGTGGACACCACCTCGGTGACGCTGCTGCCGTTGAGGTAGGCGCGCGTGATGCGGTCGAGCGTCACGTCCGACCAGAAGACGAGCTCGCGCGCGTGGTGGAAGTCCAGGGCGATGGCGTTCTCCAGGTTGTTGAGCAGCAGCGTGTACTCAGAGCGGTGCGGCAGCACCTGCCGGATGTCGATCCGGTTGGCGAACAGCAGCACCGGCTCGGGGCCTGAGCGTCGACGGCGCGGTGAAGACGGTGGTGGGGGGGGGGGGGGGGGGAGGGGAGCACCGGGATGGTGAATATAAATAGATTAAGGCGCAGCCCTGCAATTGCCTGCTCATGCCACTGTCGCCAGGGGAAGGGCCCCCAACTAAGAGGATCCACCTCCAATAATGACTCTGGCCAGGCGGCCAGATGGTCTCACCTGCAGAGCGAGCGGCTCGCGATCTGAAGGTCGCGAGTTCATATCCTAGATGGGGGTTGACTCAGCCCATCATCCCCTCTGGGGTGAATAAAAATGGCACCGCATTGTGGGGAAGAGTCAACGGTGGGTGTTATCATAAACGCTCAATAATTGGCTGAAAACACATCGAGGAGTGCAGATCTTGGGCAAATATTGCCGCCGCCGCAGAACGATCGTCGGCCATTGCCCCCCTGCACCCCCGCCCCCCCCCGACGGTGATGAGCGTCACTGACCGAGCGCCTTGCAGCCCTTCTTGTCGGGCCGCAGCTCGTAGCCCTGCTCGCACCAGCACTCGAACCCTCCTGCCGTGTTGGTGCAGCCCTGGCTGCAGTACCCATCCTCCGCACACTCGTCCACATCTGCCGCCGGGGAGGGGGGGACGGAGGAACGGGTGGGGGGGGCGGGCGGGCAGGGGAGAGGTGACGGTAAGGGGGGTGGGGTGGAGTTGTGGGGGGCGGGGGGGGGGGGCAAGGGGGGGGGGGCAAAGGGGTGTATCACGAGTGAAGGCAATAGCACAGTTGTAATAAAGTTAAAAAGGTTTTTGGAAAAAAGACTCGGACAAGAAGTCTTCTTCTAGTCTGTACGGCTGATGACGCTGCCGGGCGGTGTTCTTCACTGCAAGGCCCGCGGGCCCCTGGCTGTTCCTGGTGGCCTTTAGTGCGGCCCCCGACAATACACAACGAGTGAAAACACCCCCCCCATCATCATCAACATCCTGCTGCTGTCAAAGCCCCAATGCTTTCAAATGGTGTGGTGGCCCCTCACACTGATGATGTCTTATCGGCGAAAGTGCTGCTGTAGAGCGACAGCTGTAGTTTTACACTGTGGCGGATAATGAGCCCGCGCGGTTGCGTCATCGCGGTTGTGCTGATGCCTCCGCCCTCCGTCGTGTTTGTGACTACATTCCCGCCACTCTATTCTGGGTGGTGACCACAGCCGCCGCACACGGGAGAGGTTTTAATTTCCCGCTTGTGCATCAAGTGTCCGCATCGGCCATCGACAAGAAGTAAATATAAATTTGGAAATTACAGAGGCAGGGGTGGGTAGGCGGTGCGCGCGTTACAAGCGGTTCTAAAACGTCGATCGCAACACAACGCTTGTGTTGCGATGGAAACGTCGTAGTTTTTTGTTATTTTTTGTTATTTTCTTTGAACCTATCAACGTGACTTTACCGAAAGACCCAAAGAATAGGATCTAAAACGATTCATCGATAAAATTATCTCCTTGTGCTAACGATGAATACATCGAAAAACTCCGAAGGACCGACATGGCGTGGGGAGGTCGTCGTCCAACCGTGGATAGCCAACGGGCTGCGTTTCACAGCCATGTGCTGTGCGCTTCGATACCCCCTCCCTTCCCCTGTCACCCGGTGGGCTAGCTGCAGGCGGTGGTGCAATTCCACCAGGGCCCACGTATGCACAGGTGCTGGACCACGAAGAGGGGAATGGGGGTGGGTGGGGGGAGGAACTGAACAGTGGGGGGGGCTCACATTTCATTCCGTTCACCAGGGCCGACGCCAACCGCCGCTGCGCCACCGGTTTCACGCCAAAAATATTTCCGCTGCCCCTCTGCGCGAGAGTCTCCCTCCTAACAGCACGCGGCACACCGCACACGAATGCCCGCCTGCCCGCCGCTACCGGTAAAACGATCGACAGCGCGGGCTGTGAATACGGCTCTGAAGAAAAGCGACAGCGGGCGTCCGGTTACGGCCGACCCTTGACCCTTCCGCTCCCGCCGCCGCCCCAGCGCGTTGGCGCCAGTGTCGCTGCCGTGGAGCGGCACCCACCGTGGCAGTCCTTGCCGTTGTCGGCGAGCCGGTGGCCCGTGTGGCACGAGCACTGCACCGCCCCGCGCGCCTGTTGGCACTTGTGGGCGCAGCCGCCGTTGTTGACGTTGCAGCTCTCGGATGCCGAGTCGGTGCCTGCGGAACGAGCAGCAGCAGCAGCAGCAATCACAAACTATGCGTGGAGCAAGGCGCGACCGCGCAGAGCAACCGCATGTGGCACAACTCAACGTGGTGGAACTACACATGGCACAGCCACACAAGTCAATTCTACACATAGCACAACCACTGGGCACAAACACACGTGGCACAAACACACGCGGCACAACTAAAGATGCGTTCAAACGGCGCCGCCACGCAACACGACCACACAGGTACTAACCCACAGTGAACTAACCGGAGATGACACGACCACACGTGACACAAGCACACAAGGTGAGTAGCCCTACTTGGCAAAAACCTACGCGCCAGAGGACGTGCACCAGCCATTATGGTCACACAAGTAGAGCTACCAAGGTCGGCTTTCCTGACTTTGATCATTTTTATTTATTTCAGTCTCTGCTATCGTGCGAATTCGCTGTGACCCATCTCAGAGCCCCCCCCCCCCTCCCACCGCGCGCTGCACGGCTACACCACTACACGCCAGAAGTCACGAACGGTGACGTCCGTAACCGCCACCTCAGCCGAAGCGTTCTCTTTCCGTGACAACGTAAAAAGGTGGGCGAGCGTTTGTCACTTGGCGGCGAGTGAGCGCGCACATGCGCACGTGCGCGTGCTCGCGCACCCACGGATCGGGAAGCCGGCTCTGATTGAGGGGACATTGACCACTGCCCGGCGGCTGATTTTGTGCTCGAACGCCCACACAGCCCCCGAGGGTAGAAACACGACGCGATGCAGCAACACACCGGCGCCTTTGAAATCTCGCCCCCTGCGCTTTTCTTTTATTTTTAAAGGGAAGGAGAGAAAAACATCGTTTTAAACCAGCCGACCCGGTTTTCACGAGCGGTTGAAACCCGTTTGCTGCTCTACTCCAAGTGTACGGTGATGATTATTGCGTTTTTATACAAGGTGTGTGCGGCTGTAATGATGTGTTTGGTAATGGTGTGCGTGCGGTGGTGGTGGGGGTGGCGGCGGTAGTGCCGGGGCCACGCAGTGGGAAATTGCAAATCATAAAATAAAAACATTTTTGGAGGCCTTTCCTTTCAATAGACGTAGAATCGAAGCGAGATTACAGAAGAGATGCAGACAACAGATAAAGACGTCGTGAGTTCACAGACTCGTCGACAACAATGCGGACGCAGTGAGATGAGAGAAGAGAGAGGCAGACAAGGTAGAGATGAGAGAGATTCATTGGCTTTGATGTCAATGAGCTTCCGTTGGTCAGGACTTGAATTTAAGCAGATATTTTGACACCTCGCCATTGTATTCATCGGTGCTTGAGCCGCCTTGCTTTCTACACATTGTGCTGCGTTTCTTTGCATCTATAGGGCCGCCGCCGCCGATGTCGCGGGAGGGTGAGGCGACCGATGGCTGCTGGGAGAGGCCGATCTGCCGCTGTTTGAGCGTTCCCTTTCCAGGGGGAGCGCTCGCTCTAGCGCCAGGCCTACGCCGTCGCACCGAGCTCAATCGCTGCGGCGCAAATCCCACCGACAGAGAGAGAAAGGCCACGAGAGACGTAACCGCTTCCATCAACGAGGTCCCCCAACATCGCAAACAACAACAAAAAAAACGTTCCCGCAGTTCACGGGTGGCTCGGTAGGTGGACAACGTTTACGCGTGACCAGGTTAAAGCCTCTCAGCCTGTGGTCAAATCACCCAACATCATTTGCCCAATAAACGTTGCGCCAAATTCTGTCCGACACTGGCCCAACGTTCCACGTTCACCGGGCATCTATCAACCGAGGCTTGCCGGGTGTCTGCAGCGATTTTGGTGGCGGGATGGGGAGGGGGAGGGGGGGGGCTGAGTAGCTCACGGCACTGCTGGTGGGGGGCCTCGTCGCTGCCGTCGGAGCAGTCGGCCACGCCGTTGCACACCTTCCTCTGGCCGATGCAGCGTCCCGAGCTGCAGGCGAACTGGTCAGTGGCGCACTGAGGTGGGTCTGCGGGGGTGGGGAGGGGGTCGGGGGTCGGGGGGGGCACGCGCGGGATCGTCAGCGGTGCGCACGCGACGCGTCTCTTGACACGCACGGGCACACGCAGTCGTCGCCCTGTATCTGGTTCATGCTGCTGTAACTGAATTGTCGCCGTACCGTGCCCGAGCCAACAACGTTGCATTGCAGAGAAATTATTATTGAACGTCGATTTATGTTTGTGGCAATATGTTCGGTGTCTCGCGCGCCGCAGATTCCTTTATCCCAACGTCTCTTCGCGTCGTTGCTGTCGCTTGAATTTATTTGCTTTGTGACATTTTTGTTGACCCGAGTCACTCGTCGTCTCTCTCGAGTCCTCACCACGCTCAATAAAACAAACTTGAACTCGTGGGTCTGTGTTGCGTGTCCGTGCATGCGTATATCTGTGTGTACACGTCTGTCTGAGTGTGTGCGCCTGTCTGTGCATGCGTGTACACGTACGGGGAGCAGTGGCGTAGCCAATTTGATTCCCTCTCACGGCCACCAACAGCAGTGACGACATCTGAACTCGTCCTGGGCCTTCCATAGGCTGGCTCAGCCATAAATGAGTATACACATTCTGAGTATACATGAGCACTGTGGAGACAAAGGCGGCCGGGCGTGGCGCTGGCCACACCGCGCCCTCTTCGACAGGCTGTAGAGGCTACAACGGGGGGGTCTTTGCCCTCGTCTCAGCGCCTCACCCGTCCTCTCGCAGCCGGCCTCGTCGCTGCCGTCGGAGCAGTCGTCCTCGCCGTCGCAGCGCCACGACACGCGGATGCAGCGCCCCGGGCCGCAGCGGAACTGCTCCGTCCCGCAGGCCATGGCCGCTGAGCCGACGTGGCGGGGAGGGGGGCGAGGGAGAGCGGGAAGGGCAGCAGTAACGATGGTGGCAGAGGAGATCGAGAAGGGCAGCAGGAGTGGAGGGGGGAGGTGGGGGAGAGCAGGAAGGGCAGCAGTAGTGGGGGGGGGGGGGGGGGGCAGCAAACATGTTAAGAATTAAATTGTTAAGCTATATAGCTGTTTTTCAGAAGCGACTTGGCTACAAATGATAGCTCAACGAAGTGGCTTATCATATACTCTAAACGGCCAAATACTCTAAACGAGCGACGTTGATTATAAATGTGGAGTGAAAAAAACGGAGTAAAATCCTCGCGACCACGGGGCGAGAGACACGCAAACTCCGAATATACAGCGGGCGTCAGGATCGGTGATCTAACCCACGTGGTCCCGTGTACCAGGTGGAGGTAGTTGACATCTCGCTACCCCAACAGGCAGTGGGCAGCCGGGGGAACGTCTGCGGGCGGCGGGAAATTTCATCCGCTCTCGCGGACTCCTGCCACGCGTGGATTATCTCCGCGGGAGATTTGTTTCGGCGAACCCGAAACGGAGAATGGGATTTCGGAAAGGATATTACTGACGGTCGTCAAAGAAAGAGAAAAAAAAAGAAAAAAAAAACTGACGGTGACGATGATGAAAATGAACCTCCTATCCAGCGGCGAAAGTTACCCCCCCCCCCCCTTCCGTAGCCTTGGAGATTCTGGGGTTCATGACACTGGACACCCTGGAACTATTTTTTAAAATTACTTTTTGGAATTATCTTGTCCCCCAGGTGGTGGGGTGTTTCGTATTGGTTTCCCCCCCCCCCCCCCGCGCCCCCCCCCCTGCCCCATCAGTTTGAAATGACGCGTGCGCAGCGTGAGCGAGCGCTCATTTGGTGCGACCGCCGTTATATTTAGTGCGTTTCATCGCTGGCCCGGGTAGCCGGGGAAGCCGGGGGCGGGGGACGCCTGGGGGGGGGGACGCCTGGGGGGGGGGGACGCCTGGGGGGGGGGCCCTTTGTTGGCACACGACAGTAAGGGTCGCCCCCCCCCTCGTAGCCCAGCCGTAGGCGTTTAAGATCACCACCGTTGTGAAAGGATTTACCATCACGATCATCATCACCCTCATCGTCCTCATCGTCGTCGTCACCGGAACCCTTCGATGGTTTTACCATCGTCATCATCTTCGTCATCGACCAATGTCGTAATTATGATCGCCACCATTATCATCATCGTCATCGTCGTTCATGGCTTTATCATCACCGTTAATGGATTTATCATAAATATCATTATCATGAAAGGATTTACCAGCATCTTCATCATTATTCATGATCGTAATTATGAGCACCATCATCATCATCAACGTTCATAGCTTTATCATCACAGTGAATTGATTTATCATATATATCATTATCGTTAAAGGTTTTACCATCATCATCTTGATCAACCATCATCATTGCTCGAGACGAGACATCATTAATGGATTTTCACCATCATCATCAATCACCTTGGTCATCATCGTACGATCACGATCATCTTCACAATGATGATAGCGCCGATAAAATCTGACACGGTGCACGAGGCAGCGGCGTTGCAAAAACCTGCACCCAGCCACCTTTGTCTCCCCGGTGCTGATGTTTAACGCACACTGCACCAGGTACTCATTTCAGGCAGTCGACCTCGCTTTGGCCATGGACAGGGTCAAATATTCGTCACCCATTGAAACCCGAACCCTCACATTAACAGGAACCCTCGCGTTAACAGGAACCCTCACGTTAACCCGAACCCTCAAGTTTACCATGAGCGGGAATGGAAATTCGGTCCGCCAGGTTCGTAGCGCAGTGCGCGGACCACTTAGCTACCACTCCCCATTGCTGGCACCACCACTGACACCACCACCACCGCTGCAAGCACCAGCCACCACCACCGGTGACACCACCACCACCACGACCGCCGCCACCGCTGCAAGCACCAGCCACCACCACCGGTGACACCACCACCACCACGACCGCCGCCACCGCTGCAAGCACCAGCCACCACCACCGGTGACACCACCACCACGACCGCCGCCACCGCTGCAAGCACCAGCCACCACCACCGGTGACACCACCACCACGACCGCCGCCACCGCTGCAAGCACCAGCCACCACCACCGGTGACACCACCACCACGACCGCCGCCACCGCTGCAAGCACCAGCCACCACCACCGGTGACACCACCGGTGACACCACCACCACGACCGCCGCCACCGCTGCAAGCACCAGCGCTAAACCGCGACTCACAGCAGTTCCTCTCGTCGGAGCGGTCGTCGCAGTCGGCGTCCCCGTCGCATCGCCACGCCGCGTTGATGCACATCCCGTTCCCGCACAGGAACTCCCCGGCGCGGCACGGCTGCTGCGTGGCTGCGCACGGCGGCGACAACGAAACACGGGAATCAAACGCGGGCGCAGGACGCGCGCCGACGGGGCGGCCACGGGCCGGAGATCCGTGGAGTGGAGGGGGGGGTGGGCAGCCGAAGACAAGCGGAGGAAGATGGAGGCGGCGGCGGCAGCAGCAGCAGCGAGACAAACTTACAGAGTTCAAAGGCCACGACCGGACAGAAGCGATGAAGGCAAGCGAGGGATGGAGGAGAGAATGGGGTTGGCCTTTTAGCCAGTGGTGCAAAGTGATAGGCTGACGACAACGACGAGCACGGTTGGCTACGTGCGGCGTGAAAGAAGTTCAGCAGAGATTCACACGACAGCAGGGGGGCCACGATGACTGGAGGTGAGTGACAATGATCGAGGCTGCTGCTGCTGCAGCTGGCGCGCGTTCGGCATATTCGCCGCTCCCTCGGCTTGCGCGTGTGGGAGAACGTTGCGGGGCTCGGACACGAGGGAGCTTCGCATCCGAAGCTCGGACGCGAGGGAGCTTCGCGTCCGAGGCTCGGACGCGAGGGAGCCGCGCGTCCGTACCGCAGTCGGTCTCGTCGGACCAGTCGCCGCAGTCGTTGTCCCCGTCGCAGCGGTAGATGTCGAGGATGCAGCGGCCGTAGGCGCAGCGGAACTCCTCCTGGCCGCACGGCGCGGACGGGGCCTCCGAGGCTGAGGCACGCGGCGAGTGAGACGGAGACGTGGAGGGGGGCGGAGAGAGGGGAGGGAGAGACAGGGAGAGGGACGGAGGGAGAGACGGAGAGGCGGAGAGAGGGAGGGAGACACGGAGGCGCAGGCACATTATAGGCAGACAGACATCACCTGCAATGCACCGGGACCCGCATACCTCTTTCTAAACGACAGCCTAGAGAACCTCGTTATTTTTTTCTTCCACACAATAAAAAAAACTATACCCCCCCCCCCCCCAAGAGCCGCACCGATTAGCGAACAAAGGAGAAGGTGAAAGCAAAGGTTGCGGACCCCTCGCTCGGGTTCTCAAAACAAACGGGAGTCCTGTGGCCCTTTCTTCCAGGGGTCGATTGGCCAGGGCCCAGCAGGGCCTCCGCCCCCCCCTCTCTCCCCCCCCCCCCCCCCATTGCTCCCTCCTGGCCTCCCCCCAGGACCGCATGGTGGCAATTAACTCTTCACATTCCACGCTCGCGATGCGGGGATTATCGTCCATCACGGCAAAGATACTTATGCACTTGTTTTTCTTGGCGGGACTACCCCCACCCCCCCCCCGCCTCCACCATCCCACACCCCACCTTCTGCCCCACGGGCATGTGGTGGTGGATCCGGAGCTGATGTGCGCTTCCGTGTGTCTGCGTGTGTGCCTGTATGTCCGTGCGCGTCGTGCCGCCGTTCGTAGTAGGTGCTGCTCGCGCACAGCACTTGGCGCAACGGTCTGCAAAAAAAAAAGCTACACGGGGCATCTTTGGCTTTGTGCCTGCAGCTGTGGCGCTAAACACGGTGGCCCTTGATTTCGAGCCACGGCTAACATCAGTGGCGAACGACATCTGAACCGGTCCTGGGCTCTCTCTCCCCTAGGCTGACTCAGCCTTAAAACAAGTGCCTGTTGCTGTGTGCTTAACATCAGCACTGGGAAGACAAAGGCGGCCGGACGTGGTGCTGGCCACACACAGCCTCCTCATGTGCCATGCCGGTCTTCCATAGGTGCTCGCACAAAGCTCTTGCCCCGGCATTCTCTCGAGGTCCCCTGGAGGATCTTTGTGCCTTTGTCTTCCCGTGCGCACGCAACTGGGCAGGGTTCTCTGCTCTTAATTATTTTCCAGCAATGTCATTGTGGGGGCGCGGGGGATTGTGGATATTATCGGATGAAGTGAGTGGTGGGGGGGGAGAGGGGAAGAAGGGGGAGGGGGGGACCACTAGATTTTTGAGTCAAGCCGGACCGCTGTTTACGTGGCAGAGGAATTTCGGAGGTCAGAGGGCACCGCAGGCTCGCTTTAAAGGTTTTGTTAAATTTGGGCTCCGCTTCGGTCGCGAAGTCACCGGGAATGGCGTCGCCTCCGTTGCCTCTCTTGACGGCGCACAACGGGGACGCGCCGGGAGGGGACGTTTGGTCGTGACAAGGAGTGGAGGCACCGACTCGCGCCTCCCCCTTGGGGCGCCGGGCTCAACAACGAGCGCAGCACCCCCGCTCGACTCCCGGAGGCAGCGGGAGTCTGAACGCTTCGATGGGGCGCCACGGTGGCGAGATGTTAACTACCTCGCCTGGTATGCAGGAGGTCGCGGGTTCCAGCAACCTCCTGCACGTCTCACTCCCCGTTTTCCGGGTCCTCCGGTGTTTCCCTCCACAGTTAGAATCGGCGTGCGTTTGGAGCATTCGGCTGCCGTACATTTCCACGCGACAGTTTTTAGAGAATGTGGAGCAGGAGTGAGTTCCCAGATGACGGGAGTGGCCAGCGAGAAACGCCGCCGCTCAGCCAGGAGCAGCCCTGCTTCGGGCGGAACGATCAACAAAGGCCGAGGCGTCACCCCTTTCTCCTTTGCTGCTCCCGCTGTCTGTAACCTAACTGGCTGCTCCCCTTGTCCTGCGTCGAGCCAAGACTGCTTACTTTGAGCTTCTTCTCCACTCAGGTGAGATGGAGGAATAGTACAGCTGGGGGCGACGGGGAGGGGGGGGGCAGGAGAGAGGTTAGTGGGGAGCAGGAAGGGGCACGGGGGAGGAGTCCAGGTCACTAAGCCCCAGTCAGAGCTTGGAGCCTCGTAAACCTTGGCGCCTTGAGCCTCCGCTGTAATTATTAATGTGGCCAATTATGACCGTTGCTGTGATGCTGGATTTCGACAGGGGGGTAGGAACACCGTGGAGGAGCCCCCCCCACCCCACCTGAGAGTGGAGGGGAGAGCCCCACAGATAAGAGGGGTGGGGGGGGGCACACAATCTCGCCGGAAGGGGGGGGGGGTGGTCGACGCAGTCAACGTCAGACAAACGTTAAACGTTGACGGAACGAGCAACGATGCGATCCACTTCCTCCTACCATGCGTTCCAGCTCTCGCTCTGGGGAAAGGCCGCAGGTGCACATCGTTTGATGGGGGGGGGGGGGGATAGAGCCTTGAGCAAGGGTAGCGCAGTGCGGGGGGGGGGGGCGAGGCGATGGAAGTCGTCCTGTAGATGTGGCTCGACTTACGACAGCGCGCCTCGTCCGAGCTGTCCTTGCAGTCGCTGTCGCCGTCGCAGAACCAGTGCTCGGCGATGCAGCCTCCGTCGCTGCAGGTGAACTCCTTGTCGGAGCACTTCCTAGGCAGTCTGGGAACAGCACGACACGAACAAAGACAAAGATCCCCCGTACAGCATTAACAGACTGCAGGGGCAAGTGCTGTTTGCGAGGGCCTATCAAGGCTGGAACGGCACACGAGAGGGTGGCTGGGCAGCACCACGCCCGGCCGCCTTTGTCTCCCCAGTGGTGATGTTTTTTCACACCGCACCGGGGTACTCATTTGAGAGTGTCGACCTAGGGGAGGCCCAGGACCAGCAGTGTTGACCGTGAGCAGGAATCGAACTCGGGTCGTAACGGAGTGTGGTAGCCACTACGCCACCGCCCCCCCCCCCCCCCCACGAACACACACACGAGTAAACACACGTAAACACACACACACACGTGTAAGCGCACGTAAGCACCCGCACGAAAGCATTAACGAGCAGAGACAACGACCCCCCGCATGAATTGTTTTAAGGATGTCGGCGGCAAGCGCCGGCCCAACGTACACAAAAACCCAAACGCAGCATCCGGTAGAAGTGACCCCCGTGCGGAGGAATGATTTGTAGGCGGCCAGACGGAGGGGAAACATAAACGCAATTATAATTAAGGGGCAATTAAGAAAAAAAATCTCAAAAGTTTCACGGAGCTTGGGAATTATTCTAAACATTCCCAGGTAGAGCTCTCAAAAAATAGAGCTCTCACTAATCAGCAATCACACGTTACATGCCCTGCTGGAGCCACATGAGAGGATGTATAGCGTTACAGTTAATTAAAATGCCTCCCGACGTGAGCTATTTAAAGAATTCCAATTTGTGCCTCGGCTTCTGAGGAGGTCCCTTTAATATAGGGGAACGCCAGGAGATCGTCACATTCACAAGGGGGAGACGCGGCTCAGAGGAACGGGGTCGGGACAGGTGGGGTCGGTGGGGGAGGGGGGGGGCGCGGGGCTTTTTCTGGACACCACTGCGGTGCTCGCTGGACTGTAGAAATTAACTAACAAAAATAAGTCCAGGAGCAGCCCTACAATGACTTGTTCATGCCACTGCTGGCGAAAGGCCCTCCGATGGAGGGAGCTCTGGAGGGGAGCCCCACGGCAGAAGTGGGTAGTTTGGCCTACTCTTTCACGCCGGCCATATAATCCTGAAAGATGGTCCCGTGCCCACACTTTACCCCACCGTTCGTTTCAGCCTCCGTGACGGGAGATGGAATCGAACCGGTGACCTCTGGATTGCAAGTCCAGTTGCTGCTAACCACTGGAGCATGGTAGTCCTAACCCTGTTAAAATAATATGAATAATAATTTTCAGTCCTTGTCAATCCGACTGCTAGATGAAGACCTCCTCACACCATATCAATTGTGAGGGCTGTTGAGCCAGACTTCTTCATGTAGATCCATGCGAGCTGAATGCAATGGGTCTCGGGCACGATTCAGATATCCCTCACCGCCGATGTTAGTTGTGGCCTGGAATCGAACTTAGTTTGTCAGGTTGGTGGCACAGTGCCACTAACTAACTACTACGCCACCACTCCATCCATGTACGGTATTTTTGTAGAACTTCTTTCGCACCGTACGTAGCCAACCGTGCTCATCGTAGGTGCGGAGAAGGACAATAAACAAACACACAAAAAAGCTGCTCTAAAGAAATGAGTTTTCAATCAAAATTCATCTCCTTGAGGTGGGATAAACTTACAAGGTTTTGGGTGACCTCTAGCTATGGCCAGGTCAAAGTCCCGTGTGACCCGGGTTTGATTTCCGTCCACGGCTAACATCGGTGGCAAGTGACAGCTGAACTGGTCCTGGGCATTTCCATCACCGACTTGCGCTGACGAGTGCGGTGAACTAAAGTCGAACAACATCCCCATGACGGACAAAGCGTGGGGGAGGCCTTTATCGAGCAGTCGATTGACAAAAAGGACATTGAAGGCCAGAACAAACTTTCATTCATCCGTCTGACATCAAAGAAACCAATTTTATCCACCTCCAGTTGGACTAAACTGTTCGAGATAAAACACAACCCAACATGATTTATTTCCCCACATGTAGCAAAATCACAGCCCAACTTGTCGAGCAAGCTGCGTGCTTTTAAACCGACTTGGTTTTCAAACGGCGGCACGCAACCTTCGTTTATTTTCTCTCTTGCACAAAGGGCGGTCGCGGTCGTAAGAATTCAACGAAATGACGCGGCAAGTGCGCCAAACCTCACCAGATTCCTGCCCTGATTCCATAACGGGCGCTTCCTTTCATAAAAGTTCTGGGCCCGCGTTTTTCTTGTTTTGTTTCGAGGGTGGCGGCGGGGATTGGGGGGGCCGCCCCTCCCCCTCTCTGCCGACTCGGTGTAATTTTACAACAGCAGAAATAATAAATAGTTTTCTTGGCCTATTTGTTTTTACGACTCTCCCCTCTCCTCTCTCTCTCTATGGGCTCGCGGTAGAAAGCGCCGCCCGATCGGCAAGATAGTTTTGGAAAGTTTTGATAGCTTTCATAGTGTTTGATAGTTTTTGATAATTTTTTATAGTTTTTTATATATATTTTTTAGATTTTGATAGTTTTGGAAAGTTTTGATAGTTTTAAGTGTTTGATAATTCTTTTTTTATTATAGTTTTTGATAGTTTTGGTAGTTTTTGATAGTTTTTGTAGATTTGCGAGTGGCGTCGTCATTGTCGTCATCGGGCCTGCTTTTTAAAGGGGGGCCAGAAGTTTACGTTGAGCATGTCATAAAAGTCTTCTCTTCAAAGGCAAACCTCCGTGGAATGTTCACGCTAACGGGTCCGGACCACGCGCACACACACACACGCGCGCGCGTGGTCGACAGGTAGGGTGTGTGCGTGCCTGCATGCATGCGTGCGAGCTTAGAAAGGTCCTTTATGAAAATATACTTCTTTTCCCCAAAAAAGGTAAGAATGAGAAAAAAATGTCTTGGCGGTGGGGGTAGTTGGTAAAAACTAAAAAACTAAAACCAAAAGTGAAATGTGAGTAAGTGAGCAAGTGGGTGTGAGAGTGAGCGATGTTTCGGCGAGTCGATTTTAGAGTGGATGTGTGCGTGAGTAAGCGATTGGCTCAGCGAGTGAGTAAGGTGAGTGAGCGATTCATAAATTGAGCGTGCGGGTGAGCGAACAGGCAGCTGAGTGAACGAGCGGCGTGTGCGATGGAGTGGTTCAGTGAGTGAGTGGACGAGTGAGCATCGTGCTCGAGTGAGTGAGCGGGCGGACGCGGAGATAAGTGAGAACAAGCCAGTAGATGTGTGAATAAATAAATAAATGATCTAATGAGAAAGTGAACGAGCAAGTGAGTGCATCAGTGAATAAGTGAGCAGGCGAGCGAGTGGGCCACTCGGGGCTTGTTTATACCCAAGGTGGACCGATGGGCTTTGTGTGTCTCAGTCTGCCAAGACAAACGTCTCAACTGGAAACACTGCGGCTTGGCTCTGAAGCAGCAAAGCAGCTCCCCCTCCCCCCCCCCCCCCCCCGGGGCTGTGGACCGCGCACAGCCGGAGCGCTCGGCCTCCGCTCGGGGGCTCTCGTTCTGCTCTGCTAAGGTAAAGGTGTGGGCTGGGGCGGCTGCGTGGGGTTGGGACATCAGGGGGAGCTACCATTCTGGCTCGCTCGTCTTTTAAAACACTGGGGGGAGGGGGGGGGGTGGCGATGAACGGCACTTGGCTTCGAATACGGGCACCCGGGTTCGATGCCCCACCCAACCACGGCTAAGAACAGCTCAGAGGGACGAATATGGTGTAAGGGAGGGCCGTCATCGATAATTGTACATCTCAAACAATTTACTTGCCACAAAAAAAAGAAAAAATATCTAAAAACACCACACCGATCGTTATTCTGACCTGCCACGCTCTTCGGAGAGAGAGAAGCTTTACGTAAACCCCGAGCTCCAAGATGAATCTACACGGAGCACATTTTTCTTTCGCTTCTTTCCGGGGGGAGGGGAACCTCGAGACTGAGAGCCCCCGCCGCCCCTGGCCCCAGCGTGGGCTCGAAGCCCACGGCCGGCGGGAGACAAACAGCGGCCTCATTGTCACTGCGCATTCCAGCGCGCTCGCCGAAGGTCGCGCGTTCGCAGGACACGCGATACGACGGCGAGGCCCTGCCTGAGGAGGAGGAGCAGGAGCGACAGGCGGTTGCTGCCAAGTCAGCTCACTTCGTGTTGTTTTTCATTATCTTGCGGTAATCCTGCCGATCTTCTCACGGAGGCCCACCGCTACGGCAGACCGGACGCAAGCTGCACCCCCCACCCCCACCACCCCCCCACGAGTGGCCACTGATGTTCTTGCGGGCTTCACCTCACTGACGATGTCACAGCTACCAAGGATCCCTTAGGATAATCCCGCGGTGCGTTTCTTTTGTTTTTGCCGCGGCTTTCGCTCGCTGTCTGTCAATCTCTCCCCAATCCGAGCGACGGTTTCGTTCCCGCAGGGTCCTGGTCTCGCCTTGGCCAGCTTCGCAACCAAAAGCAAAAGTATCAAATCAAAACCGAATTCCTTTAAAGTCGTCTTCCTTAAACCGGCTGCACCTCTGCGTACATTATCCCACGCAGTTAGAATAATAATCGTGTGAATCTGAAAAAAACAATTACTCTTGGTGACACTATGTTAATATTCATGTGAGATGGTTACAACGTTTAAAGTTCTTATTCGAAGCTTCAGATGGTCAGCTTGGAGTCCTCTTATCTGGCGAGATGGAGAATTCCTCAGTAGCACCCCCCCTCCTCCTCCTCCCTGCCTCCTCTCCCTCCCTCCCCACCCTCGCCCGCTCCCCTTTTCCTGTCGCTGGAGTTAAACCCTTTAATAACAGTTAAACTGAAGGCGCTCCGTGCGTGAGGGAGCGTGGCGTTAGAACCCACAAGGGCTGCCCTCCCCACACCCCCACCCCCTCAAGGATTCCATTGTCCCGCTCCGGATAGAATCTGTCCACGCCACGAGCGCGGAGGGGGCGCAGCGATCCAAGGGAGGCGACGTCATGACGATGACGACGACGGCCACGACGATGACGACGGCGACGACGAGGAGGAGCATTGAGGCCCACGTCTCACAACGCGCCGTTTCTAAACCCCCTCCCCCCACCACCGTCCTAGACGGGGCGATCGTCGATGAGCACCCGAAGCAGCGCTGATGTAGAGCGTGTCACTCACCATTTCTGGTGTCACTCACCACCACCGGTGGTGAGGTTTCACTCACCACTTCCCTCGCGGTGGATCGCGAGGGATGTGGTGAGTGACACCAGAAGTGGTGAGTGACACCTCGTCACCAGTGCTGAGTTACAGCAAAAGTGGTGAGTGACAAAGAACAAGAAAATAAATCCGTTAGAAAGAAATGAGTTTTTGAATCGCAAACGAGTGTCCGAGCGGCCATGCGGCAGCGGGGCAGAACGCGGCGTCTCACCGCACTGCTCGTCAGAGTTGTCTCCGCAGTCGTTGTCGCCGTCGCAGTGCCACAGGCTGCGGATGCAGTAGCCGTTCTTGCACTGGAACTCGTCTTCCTCGCACTTCCTGGGCGCTGTTGTTCAGGGGGAGGAGGGGGGGGGACGGAGGTGGGGGGTGGGGGGGCAGGGTGGGGGTGGCGAGAGATGGGATCAGGTCAGGGTCAAGACTGCAGAGGTCAGGGGTGAGAAGCCGCGGGTTATGGGGGCCATGCGGGAGGTGATGACGTTAATAGAGCAAAGTGGACCCACGGCGAGGTTCTGTTAGTTCAGGGTTCACATAGAAGAGGTTGGAGGTGAGAGGTCACGAGGCCGCAGGTTATAGGGGAACGGCATTAATAAGGCACGTGGACTGACACAGGGGCTGTGTGTGGGGGTCAAATCCCAATCGCCCGTGTAGGGAGCATACAATGTCTATGTTTGAATCACTCCTTGCTTGTGGAGAATCAACGTTACATATTCAGAAATTATGAAAACTCAATGAATGTGAAACTCATAATCACACCAACCGCACGCATACATTTAAGCCAGTCATTGTAGGACAGTGGAAAGCATAAAGTAAACGTCTCCTGAGAATTCCACAACCCTGGAGGAGGTAAATCTGCAATGGATGTAAAAATTATGTGATCTGACAACGCTTGCACACTCGAAACATGAATCAACTTCCTGACATAATTTCAAGGAGCGTCTGAATCGTCGGTTCGTGAACCGTTTAAACGTTGCATCGCAAATTCATACTTGGATTTCCATCATGTGTGTTTGACCGTCCTTTGCTTTAGCACTCGAAAACTGATTTCAGTACCAAGATTTGCCATGAGGAACGAGACTTGAAGTCTCAATAGGCTGTCACTTGGTTTAAAAATAGATAGAATCAAGATATCACTCGTAAACAGAAGTCTTGGGAGGCCGATGAGCCACCATACCAAAACTAATCTCATCTTTACGTCAGCGGTAATGAACAGAAGGCGATTTGGGAAAAATAATATCCAAAATGCTTCACTGCAGGATATGGTGAGGTTTTCTACCATTACGTTTTTTTTTACATATATAGAATAGCTGACAACCGTGGTACACTCGGCTAAATGAACTCCTCGAGGCATCGATGTTGCAGCCACGGTCAGACAGCAGCCGCACGCTCTGGCCAAATGCAAACCCAAGACCAGGCAGGCAACATGTGAGCCTGAAGGAGAACGGTCAGAAGAAAAAAAATCGCCACTCCCCCACCGCCTGCACCCCGAGCGCGTGCGGTTTCAATCGCAGGAACCGCTCCGACTCGCACTCACGCCTTGTTGATCCTGACAGATACGAGCAATTACTGGATTACGAGGAGTGATCGGGCATTAGGAGCAGTTTGTAAACTCGGCCCGAATTCCCCGCGCGCGCCTTGCTCACGTCAAGCCCTGCCGCTTCCAATCAGCCGGTGGGGGGGGGGGGGGGGGGGGGGGGGGTAGTTGGCGGGGGGGGGGGCAGAGGCCGGAAAAAAAAACCTTCAGCAGTTACGCCGCCGAGGACGTTCGCGGATTTTGTTGTTGTTGTTGGTGTGCCACGCGGATTTTGTTGTTGTTGTGCCGCATGGACCCCCTCCCACCCCCAGATAATTTTCGGGGGTCGTGCCGCTTCGCCGGTTGGCACGACGCTTCGTTCTCGAACGCCGCAACGCGCCGCGCGGGGCACCCCCTTTCTCACGATCTGAATGTTGCATCCCGAGTCTCCCGGCGCGCGCGGAGTGAAACTTCAGAGGGGTCGTGCCGAGCGACGTGTGGCGGCGGCGCGAACTTGAGAAGAGAGCTCCTCGGCAACTTCCCAGCGAGCGCCGCCGCACTTTAAAAACGAGCACGTGGAACCCTTCAGAGTGGCGGCTTTGTGGGCTCGAGGCCGAGCTAATCAGCAGTGTAAACAACTCGCCGTCAGCGCCAAACCCCCGCGCCCGCACTTGGACTCGGCTAAGAGGGAGAGCGGCGCGACCCTACGGTGCCCTTTCCAGCGATCTCTCTTTGTTTTGTTATTTTTAAAGCGTTTTTGTTCAACTTTTTTTTTGGGGGGGGGGGGGCTGTCCTGCTTTGAAAAATGGAGAGGCGAAGAAGTAGAAGAACAAAATTAATAATCGGTGAGCCTGCCGCTGGAAGGAAGAGCCGTCGAATGGCGCTGGGAGAAGCGACCCCGAGTCGCGACGAGTTGAGCGGCACGGCCGAGCGATTTTTTGGCGCTTTCCAAAGCGCTCGGTAATGATTCCCCAAGCTCAGATCGAGACCGTTTACAAATTAGTTCCGGCCGTCCATCTGTAATGGGGGGCCAGGGGGGGACACACACGATTACTTCGAACGTGATTTATCTCGAGGTGATGTGCAGGTCGCTGGAGCAGAAACTTGACCGCTAGCCACAGCAATCATTGAGAGGTATACTGGATGTGGTGTGCCACTGACCCAAGTCAGACCCGGCTGAAATGGGCGCCACGGTGGCGAGATGTTAACGACCTCGCCTGGTATGCAGGAGGGCGTGGGTCGCCTGCTGTACATTTGGAGTTTGAATGTTCTCCCCGTGGTCGCGTAGATTTTTATCCGGGTCCTCCGGTTTGTCCTTCCACATTTAGAATCAAAGTGTGTTGACAGTATTTGGCTGCTATATATTTCCACACAATGATGATAAGCCATTTCTCTGAGCGATTATTTGCGACCAGGTCACTTCTGAAAAAGAGCTATACAGCTCAGTGGGCCTTACCTGGTAAAGTAGAAGTAGTTTAGTTTATTTTTAGAAGTTAGGCCCCAACTACAAGTCTCGTCAATATTATTGTCCAAAATGAACGAATCTCCTGTACAAAGTTGTGCTGCGGTTAGCAACTTAGCCTTGACCAACCTTGCATTTAGTGTTGCAAAGATCGGCAGAAATTTCTATACTTACCCAATTTGTACTTCTTTATACTCATATATAACTTCATCTTGTATGCAGTGTTTTCATTATTTTCATTTAGTTATACTTAGTCACTTGCTTACCTTTTCTCTATTTTGCACTCCGATCGTTTTTTTGTATCGTTGTTGTAACCTCGCTGACCCCGTGACCCTACCGGACATCTGTGAAAAAGAGCTTCATAGCTCATCGGATTCCTGCTCCTCCAGTCTAATTAAAGATTCTGATTTTATACAAAAAAACACAGCCAGAAGCAGGAGGTCAAAGGGCTATTTGGCGGATATGCAAATACATTTGACCCGGACAGCTCTTGATCCATCTGCTTCCATACCACCAATCAAATACTTCCGAAGTTGAGCGCGTGTCGGAACGCGCAACACAATCCATGCACGTGCGCGCGAGTTTACCTAACCTGTTTTCTTAACTGAGCAGTTATTTTTCACCACACGAGTTGTTTTATCGACAGGAAGAGCAGGAAAAGCCCAGACATTGGGGGCAGGCGCACACAGGACCCACTTGTGTACTTATCCTAACGCCACTAACCGTATGAAAATATCTGACAAAGGGCACGTTACACGAGAGATTTCCCCGCCACAATGTCTGTTGCCATTGCGTGGCTGGCGGAAAGAAAAAAAACCGGTCTGAAACTTGTCGCACTGACAGAACGCCGTTCTTGCTAAACGCCAGAGCGTGAGTAAACGATACGAGCAGGGAGGGCACGGCGCTGGCGATGGCGCCAACGACGGCCGCTTCCTACACCTCGGCCCCGACTGCACGGCCTCAGGAACCATCGAGCCACCCCAATGAGCGCCCGCGCCGCGATAAATCCCACTTACGTCCGTCGCGAGCGTTTGTTTTTCAGCGTTTATCGTGGCATTGGCCTCTCACCCCCCGCCTGTCGGCAAGAGCGCGTCTGACGGAACAGGCTTCGGGGGTGGCGCCAAGGCAGAGGAGGAGAAGGAACACACAAAAAAAACACACGCACTCCGATCGCAGACGTGCTCGCTCGTAAAAGCTAACCTCCCCGTGGCATTCGACCCGGCGGTGACAGCTCGCTCGTGAGAATTCTCCCGACGGAAGGAGCCGGTGAAACTGTTCGCTCGGGCTCCGACACTCTCGTGAGAGATGGGGGAGGCCTCTGCGGAGCCTCGGGTGATTGTGGACCTAAGGACCACGCGAGACCGGCACGGGATTACGATGCTGGTGGAGGCGTCGCGCGGGTGGGCATGGGCCCCGGTTGCAGCGGGGCACTGCCGCACTCTGCAAGGTGTCCTCCTGGCGAACGGTTCACGGTGGTCGCTGGTTCGGTTACAGATGGGAGCCGCAAAGCTCACCCCCTCACGGAGTTCTACGGTGCCATAATTACATCAAATTTACCCGACTACCGGCCGCTGACTCAGGACAGAGCCTACTATTCATGCGCCGCCCCTGGATTCAACGGTTCAATTATTGAACAGCGGCGGGCGTCTCGTCGCAGTGTCCGAAACCGCGGGGGAAAGGCGATGGTGGCGTGCCACCCGCACCACCCACAGTGGCCCTACGGCAGCCGCCCATAGTGCGAGGATTGACACGGGCGGCCTCGTCCCCAGTGTCCTATCGCTGCCCGGCTCTTCACTTCACGCCTCCTCGTGCCGAACACTCGCATCGCTTTCGCTGTGAGCTCAGCCGAGGGTGGAAGTTGCGTCCCTCCGGGAGTCATTAGAATTACGGCCAGTTGCTCGAATATTTCTCTTTTTTTTTCTTTCCAGGCGCAGGCATTAAGAGAACATGGGATCACTCCAGCGTTCAAGGTCAAAGGGCGATTTCCGGTGATATTTGGCAGAGGAGGAAAAAACCCATAACCGAATGTATCCTTTGCCCGCCAAAAAAATTGGCGGAAACCGCCTCTCCGCCCGCGCATGAATCAGGCTCCCAGTGCAGGTGACAATCACCACGCACGCACCCAGCTCCGCACGCGCGAGCTCTCCACCCCGGTTCCCCATGGCCGCGATTGCATTCATCATCTCTCGCCCCCCCCCCTCGCCCCCCCTCGCCCCCCATCGCATTTGTCACGGCCAACGGCGTCAATGCATTCCTTCTGCTGCCGCGGATGCAGCGAGCGCCGCTAACGCCCGGCATTAGGCACGGCAGCGGCGTTCTCCCCCCTCGCCCCCACCACCGCTACCATGGCGGGGTCGCTCGTGGCGCGGTGATGGAGCGCTCGCGGGTCAAGGGGTCACCTTTTTGGTGCCAATGGGATCTGGGACCCGTCGGATGACGTCCACTCCCACAGCCAAATTCACTTTGAGCGCCTTTGTTTTGCTTTCCCTCTCGATCGCTCAACTCGCGAGCGCCCGGTAACGCACCGGCCGGTGCGGGCAGCCGGCCGATGGAAATCCGCGCCGACTTCCCGTGAATGAAACTTAATTCGCTCGTCGTTTATAACGTGGCCAAAATCCCGTACGAATTGGCGGCAAGAGCAGACGCGCTTTAGAGGAGTTTTGGTCCAGTAGGGGATCTCGGCTTTGGTGTCGATTGCTCGTTTTCTGGCTTTGTCCGATGGTGGTGATAGCGAGGCTGAGAAAAAGGGGGAGCCTTGATCTCCAAGTCAGCTTTGCTTGGTAAACAAATGGTGCTGGTCATTATTGTTATTGCTCTGGAAAGCCAACCGGCCGATGGATTAATAATTTACATGTCTATTGTGTGGGAGCCAGAACAAGAGTTCTGCATATGCGCCACAGCTGTGCATAATGAGTTTGATGATGAAGGCATGGGGAGGCCTTCATGCAGCAGTGGATAGCACCTTTCTAACGTTGATCATTGTTACGATTACTATTGCCGCCCCTGCGTAGCTGTTCGTGGTTGCGCTGCACAGCTCTCCGATGCGTTCTCGGGTTGTGATCGCGGGTCGTGGCGCACAACGGTTCTCTCCAGGTGCCGGGATGCGTCATCAGGCACCGAACCGTCGGACGTCGTGCCGAACGCCACACGCGGTATGATCCCAGCGAAAAGAAACATCACTACTCCTGCTATTGTTGATTTGTCGGCGTGAACATTCAGAGCTGGTTGCAGGAGCGAGACGACGCAATGTGGACATGAAGCTACGGGGCAGCGCAGGGTAGGGGCAGCAACAGCTGCCCCTACCCTGGGGAGCCTGGTGGTTACCCAGGTCAGCAATATCCCTCAGTCAATTTTCTCACCGCGCACGACTCCCCAAGCCGCAATGTAACCGCATTGCATTTTAAATGAGGGCCCTAACATAATTTCGCTACTCCGAGTCTGATTTAATGTGCGCGTGCAATTTAATTCGCAGGGGAATTTATATTTTTTCACACAATCCGATGAATTATGGATGGTTCTGACCAACAAAGAGAACTGGGAGAATGGTGAAAATTAAACAAACAGAATGAAAAGCTAAAATAACAAATCAACTTGAGTTCGTGGGGTTTATTTAAGGCTTCAATCATGAAAAAATATATATATAAATGCACACGTGACTGCAACGCATTAGACCTTTTGCTATTTAATGATTAATGTTGTCAAATCAGATTTTAATCCGCCGAGATGCCGGTAAAAATATTGCACGTTACGACATCGTCCGTTGCGTTAATCCGTGGATATTGCTGCGCATTATTTTCATCGCACGCGTTACGTAAGCCCGGGCAAGCACCCACTCGCCACCCTCCCCCTCCGCTCGCCAAACAACAACGACGCGACGTTTCGCGCCATCGCGCGTTGCTGCCACTGCACGACCGCTGCTCTGCTCCGGCAACTCGGCGCCTCCTTGCCGAAATCACCCCACCCCTCCTACCCGAGCGGCTAACGATCGCTCCGTGGGGAGGGTCGCTTCTTCTCCTCTGCTGCTCCCATCCCCGCGTTGTCGACCGGGACGCACGGCCTGGCGGCGCGGCGCTCGTGGCCGCTCGTTGTTGCGGAGGTTCGCGGTTCGAAATGGGCGGCCGCCCCCCGGATTAGTAACGCGAGCGTAAGAGTCGTGACAATACTGCTACGCGCCGTCCGCTTCGCTCGAGAGGGGACGGGCAAAAGATCCCCTGACACCGCTCGCAAGGGTAGGCCCATTGTGTGCCAGCGTCCGGTGTCCAAATTTGCCAAATCGGAAGAGTACCTGCGAATTACTCAACTGTATATACAACAACCGCCATTCGCCCTTCCCCCCACGCCAGGCACGGATATTAGTTCCACGCCCCACCTCCCACCAACCCGCCAACCCCCTAGGAAGCGATATTCAGGAACATTGCTTCCGCTTGGGAATATTTCCACCCCCCATACCACCCCACCACCAACCAAGGCCCTTTTTTTAGTGTCACAGAGTCTATATCCATGCAGTTTTATGTCCACGTGACCGTTTTACAAACTTAATTGGGGAAACTGCTTCCTCCGTTTGATTTGAGAAAAGTTTTCTTTTCATTCCAGCCGTGTGGGTCCTAGCTTTGTCCAAACCAATGCGGCTTTCATACCTTTTCCTTAGCAATAACCAACCCCCGACCCTGACAAATGGTAAATATTCACTGGTGGGAACAGACACCAGTCCCCGCAGGGGGTTACAATATTCTAGCGCAGCGGCTTCACACTTGAGATTTGCTTTTTAATGAACCACGATGCTTTGTGAGCCTCGTCCCTTTAAAACTGGGATTATCTGCACCGGTCCTGGGCCTCCCCTAGGTCGACTCGGCTTCAAATGAGTACCTGGTGCAGTGTGTAAATATCGCCACCGGGGAGACAAATACTGCTGACGCGGTGCTGGCGACCCACCGCCTCGTGTGCCGTGCCGGCCTTCGCAGGTGCTCGCTAACAGCACTTGCCCTAAAAGTCTGTTTAAGGCTATACGGGGGATCTTTGTCTTTGTGTGGGGGGTGCGGTTCCGTACGGCAATCCTGCTCGTCCGAGTCGTCGCCGCAGTCGTTGTCGCCGTCGCACACCCACGAGCGCCGCACGCACTTCCCGTTGTGGCACTGGAACTCCAGGTGGGAGCAGGTGGGCAGCACTGGGCACACGGAGAGGGGACAAGCAGGAGAGACAGTGAGGGAGAGTAACGGGGAGCGAACACACTGGGTGGTGTGCATGCAAAGGGAGAGGAGAGAGGGAACACGCAGTTGAACGTGAGCACAACCTCCCTCTCCCTGCTTGCGTTCCCACATTTTCCCTCTAACCATCCCCACATTCCCAACCCAACCACCCAACTACTCAACCAGCCACCCAACCACCCAGCCACCCAACTGTTCAGTCAGCCACCCAACCAACCAGCCACCCAACCACCCAGCCACCCAACCACCCAGCCACCCAACCACCCAGCCACCCAACTGCTCAGTCAGCCACCCAAGCACCGACCCTCCCGCGCTCCACACACAACGATGCTGCATAAGCACACGGGGACCTTTTTAACTTCTGGCTTTACAAACACGGCAATTCAAAGTTGCTTTGAGCAACTGCCAACGAGGCTGTTTCTCGTTTTGCTGAAGGTCAAAAGGAAAAAGATGTGGGACGGAATAAAAGGAAAATCACGTCGGGAGTGGGACGACGACGAAACGGCTGTCGCAGTGCCGGCTACAAGATGCGGCGACGGCTTTCTTGCGACTCAACTCGATGTGACTCGACACGCGTGTGTCTGGATTAAGCCTGAGGCGCTGCCCGTTAGCCGTGGAACTTAACGCGCGGGGTCAGAGCCGCCGGATGAAGAAATTTAATTTGAAATTCCTGCAGCGACCGCCGCGCTATCAGCGCCGGGCCGAGCTCTCCGCTCTCTCTCTCGCCACCCTCACCACCCCCCCGGGTGGGATTCATTCCTCACTCGCTGCTCGACTGGAGTTGGGTGGCACCCGGCGACCACGTGACGACCGGCAGCTGCGGGCAGACGCGAGGGGTATTCTCGATGTGGTGGGCCAGACCGAAAGCGTTCATTAAAATAAATGTTTTAAAGTCTCCCGGTAATAACAGGCACAAAACGAGATTAAACGTAAGAATAACAAACGAGCTCCCGCTCGGTTAAATAAATAGCACTTATATAATTTGATAACTAAACCGCGCTCACAAAAGACAAATTGTTTCTCATTACGGCTAACCTACTTAAAACCCTTCCCTGGCACGACGCCGACCAATCATGCTGCACAGTGGCGTTGGCTTCGCGACTCCAAGCAATTAGGCTCGAGGGGAAGAACCTTTTGAGATTATTCGATTTGTTACACGGACGGGCGATAAGTCCGGCTCAGCCGGTCGTTGACGCCATCTGTGGTGGTGGTGGTGCTGTGTGAGCGGCAGCAGCAGCAGCAGCAGTCGTAAAAACAAAGACAGAAAAATGGACTTTGGAGAGAACGAGTGGAGCAGGCTCCTGAAGGAAGACGTCGCGTGAGGAACAGAAGAGGCGTCTTAACGGTCGTGAATGAAACACGCGGGAATGGACAGACGCGTACTGTGAGACCAGAAAAAAAGTGAGGTGCACGTGCAAGCAAGCTCGATATTTTAGTCTAACAAACGGGGGGCATAAATATGCGCAGATCTAAACAACAACAAAAACAGCGCAAACAAACCGTGAGATGAATAGTGTGCCGAAATAAAGTGATTTTTTGTACGTGTGTGTTGCTGATGATGTTGATGATGATAGAGATGAGGGCTTTCTTCCAGCCGCGGATGGATCGCTACCGACGATGACAACGAGGGACAGACGAAGCGCCAACGATAGATGGCGTGAGGAGGTGGGAGTGGAGAGAGGGGGGAGGGAGGGCCTTCATCCAGCAGTGGATCGACCGCGGCGGTGGGGAGACAGCGTGGGCTGGGCAGGGCGTGAAGGGGCCGCGTTTGTGAAGGAATCGGTGGTGGGGGGGGAGGGTTGGGGGAGGGTGGGGGGGTTGGGGGGATGGGACGGTGGGGGGGTTGGGGGGTTGAGGGAGGGTGGGAGGGTGGGGGGTTGGGGGGTGAGACGGTGGGGGGGTTGGGGGGTTGAGGGAGGGTGGGGGGGGTTTGGGGGGTGAGACGGTGGGGGGGTTGGGGGGTTGAGGGAGGGTGGGGGGGTTGGAGGGGGTGGGAGGGTGGGGGGTTGGGAGGGTTAGGAGGGTGGGGGGTTTGGGGTATTGTGGTGGTGGGGGTGTTGGGGAGTGGGGGTTTGTTTGGGTGGGGCGTTGAGGAGGTGGGGGGTTGGGGGGTGGGAGTGTGGGGGGGTTGGGGGAGGTGGGGGAGTGGGGGCTTGGGGGGGGGGTAGAAGGGTGGGCTCAGGGTTGCCGAGTGAATCGAGTTTCGGCCACAGCGGCCCGGTGCCCCCGCGGTGTGGCGACGTTCGCTGTTCGCGCGCCACGCCGAAGCAGGCCACAGCGACGCCGCGACTTCTGCCACATCTGTGCCTCCTCGAGATACTTGAGGAAATTGTTACCTCTCTTCCTCTCCCCCCCAACAAAGTAAGATTCCATTTCACGCGGAGAGACAGCTGCTTGTGCAAGTGCAAAGGGTTTTCCTTTACGTCTGCAGAATGTGTTCGTTTTTTTATTATAATAAATAAAAAACATTTATTATCATAAATAAATAAAAATCATACCGTTTATTTACCCAAGAAAGCCTCTGTTTCATTTTGCCACGAGAATTCGGCAGTGGTGTGAAGCAAGCGGTTGCAGGGCTGCACCTTTAACCGCAAAATCGGCGCCACAGAAGCACAGTGACACGCTCAGGACCGCAGAAATGTAAGCTAAAACTTTTGTTCAACTAAACTTTTTATTTTACCAGCTAAGTCCCACTGAAGCTATACAGCTCTTTTTCAGAAGCAACCTGGCCACAAATGATAGCTCAACGAAGTGGCTAATCACGTGGAAATGTCTTGCAGCCAAATACTAGACATGTACAACAGACGTCAGCGTCTGGTGTATATTTGTAGTTAACATATCGCCACCGTGGCACCCAAAGTGGTTCATGAACCCACTTGAATCTGGCCACCTCGCAGCCCAGCGGATTTTTTTAAAATCCACAATCCTGTTCCTGTTGTTCCAAAAATACAGAAATAAGTAGGAAGACACCACAATTCATGTATCCACGAAAGCCTCACCGGCACTGGGATATTTGGCTGAATCCACGAATGCCAGCCTGGTTTCACGTGGCCTTGAAACCGAATAACACCGGAGGAAACCCAACGCGCTTACAAAACGGGGAATATTCACAGCTCCACAAGGATGGATTCAATAATCCATATTTGTACAGCCACGGCTACAACGGCAAACATAAAAAAAACAAATTCAATTCTCATCAGGGCCATGGTGTAAAGTTCAGTCTCCAACTCTTATTATCCACGCTGTCTCTCTCAGACCTCGACTTTGATCTGCAATCATGAAAGGTCAAGACGTCGCCTATATATTGTTTTTTCCTTTTACGGCCACACTCAACGTTATTGACGAAAGCGTTGGGTGTCCTGTTACGACAATTTGCAACTCCCATGCTGCCTCTCTCCCGTGCCGATGCTAACCAGGCTGAACACAACTAACTGCTTAGCTTTCGGGCCGCGTTAAAAAACTAAAAGCCGTGGCGATTCGGTCGCGGGGGGGGGGGATAAAAATTCTCGTCGCGTGCCACGAGGCAGTGGGCGCGCTCTCTCCCTCTCTCTCTCCCTCTCCTTCAAACAAATTAGCGAATCAGGGCGGACTGAAAAACAAGGGGCCAGACAGCAGCACAATGCCACACGCACGCAGGCACGCACGGCGGCCACACACCTGCACGGGGTGGGGGGGGGGCGGGGGGCTCACGTCTCAAACACGCCGCACACCTGCGCACCTGTGCGATAACAGGCCTCCTCTGCAGGGTCCTGACATACTTGCAGCTGGGACAAAGAGGGGGTGGAGGGGGGCGGTGTGGGTAACGCATTCCTCTCTGCAAGCTGTAACGCCAGAGTCAAGGACAGGTGATGGATCCGTGCGAGGCTCTCGGTCTCTCGACACACGGGCGCTGTTCGTAAATACGTTGGGGGGGGGGGGGGGGGGGCCTTGGTTGTGGCCGTGGCGACTGTTTAGCCGCCACTTTCGGCTGTCGAGAATGCGGAGCAATTCATTATGGACGCGCTGCTGTAAAACAACAAACAAAAAGGCTCGCCTGGAGATTCCTCCGCTCTCACTTTTGTAGCTTCTGTGCAAATGCCATCCGTCCCGTGAGCCCATGATGGTTTATATATCAACAGACTATATATACATTATACATATTTATATTATTTCACATACCGTTGTCAAACAAAATTATGCCAAATGCAAAAAAAACACAACACATTGCGCACGCACACGCACGTGCACACAATTACAAAGATCGCCCTCCACCCTGCGTATAGCCTTTGCAGACTGTTGGGGCATGTGCTGTTCGCGAGCACCTGCTGAAAGCCGGCACGACGCACAAGGGGGTTGATACATCCAGCACCATGCCCTTGCCGCCCCCCCCCCCCCCCCCACCACCACCATTGCTGATGTTAACACACCGCACCAGGTCACAAGAATGCACAGTTCCAGGTACACGAACCTCCTTGCTACCCTGCCGTCTCTCAGCCATCCTCGCATCGGAAGCGTGACCACACCGGCTACCGCATTCCGAGGCAGCTTCACCACACCCGAGAACTGACCAGGAGGCTCAAGGTGAGTTGGTTGCCTGCGGAGTGGGGCAAGAAGTGGGGCACGGCATTCGGCCCGGTGCCACCCCTCCCTGCCCCTTAACCCTGCCGCTTGGAGGGCAGCATCAGCACACGTGACAAACGGAGGAGACGGAGGTGGGGTGGCCAACTGGACGCGTGTTTCGATCGCGGCTTTTATTTCGCCGGGAAGCACGGAATAATAATACTCAAATAAATAACTACATTTTGGAAACACTCCTGCATTTGATTACCACGATGGTTATTACTGAGTCTGCTGGATTCGTGCCCTTATTAGCGAACGGCGCATTCCTAAATGGGGAAATATTCAGCACAGGCGAGACCAGGTTCATGGCTCCAATTAAACCGACAACAACAACAAAAACCGCCAGCGGCACAAATAAAAC